AGTCATGAAAATCATTCCAAATCCATTCAAATTCAATTAAAACTCAAATCCTTATAATATTTAGATTCTAAAATGATAGAACCAATAACATTGTATTCCATTATAGATTTTAAAATCATAGAACCAATAACACTGTATTTCAATATAAATTTTAAAATACAAGAACCAATAACACTAAATTTGGTTTAGATTCTCAAATCCATTAAAATACAAAAACCAATAACACCTCCTTAATTTGATTTTAATTTATTTTATTTTTGTTAGTTCAAATCAAAGTATTTACAAATAAAAGAAAGTTTACTGTTAGGAACTTAGGACAAAAGAAAAGTAATTAGTTGACTCATCCAGTCATCCATCACCGTTGGCCACTGACTTTTGTTATAGATTTTTCGGCTGTGTTATTTCCTTTTTTGTACAATTATTTTCTTTTACATTGTCCCCGTTTACTCATATCTACTTTTCCTGCCATGATTTTTATTATTATTATTACTTGTTAAGTTGTTTCTCCAACGTGGAGTAAGTACTTAAAAGTTCAAACAAAAAGAAACGTGCAGTGAATATTATCTTATTCTTACGTGAAGTTTTATCAACAGCCATATATTTATTTAGTATCTCATGTTGCAGTAACAAAAAGAGTGAATTAGGATGATCAAGAAAGAATACGCACCAAAAAGACATATTTCAAAAGAGCAATAAAAATATTTTTTTTACGCACAAAACAATGAGCGATATTTAAAGTAAGTATATATATACACAAGAAAAGAAGCGGTGGACGAAAAAAATGTATTACTGTTAAAGAAAAAAAAATTGAGGATATGATTACTTTGCACTAGCTAGTTTCAGGAACAAGTATGGTTTATTGTTTGAGTATAAAAAAAAAATTATGAGAAGGGATGCCTTCTTTAGCTATTAATTTTCTTTAGTAAAAAATAATGTTTTACAATTTATTAACTATAAACATGTAGATTTCTCATTCTTTTTCATGGAATATATGCCGTTTGATTTCTTTTTAAATTCGGCCTTTTGGAATTAAAATTTTGGTTGAACAATAAGTGAATACAATAAATACATTTTGCAACTTTGTAAACATGTTTCGAAATCATCTTTTTGAATAAAGAACATGTTTCGAAATTATCAGTTTTATGTATATGACATATAATCGTGCCTGTATTCAGAAACAGATGAATTGCTAATACATTATTATGACTACACACCTAAATACCAAATAAATAAAAACTCGAAATGATTACATATCTGTATCAAACAAGTTTATCTATTTGTCTATTTGCGACCTGTTTGTTTATTTCGCTTGAGTTTCGTCTATTCCGCGGGAAGTCTTTCATTCGAAGTAGCTAAACTATAATATTAAAAGTATACTGGAATTGCTCGTAATGAGATATCATCATTTTGCTGTCTTAATTTTTGTATTATTATAATTAGCATTGAAGATTCAACTGCTTCTGAATCGGGCCTTGATTAGCGATGATGTACATGACAATGAAACATGCATGTTTCTCAAATTCCAATTGATAATGGATGAAAACGATATAATGTCCGACAATTTTGACAAATTTAAGTAAAACAAGAACATATGACAAAATAAATATAAGAAAAGGAAAAAAAAAACAAGAATAAAAATGCCAAAGTAGTGGGTTCTAAAAAAATGGAGTTACAACTAGGTTGAACCAATGTAAGGTATATAGATATTAAGTGAGAATAAAAAAAAACTTCAAATTTTTAAAGATTGTAATTAACCATAAGGAGTTAACTTTAAATGTATTTTAGTTGTTTCCGAATCATTTGACAGAAATCACCACAATACGTAATTCATCTATTTAAGACTTTTTGTGTGGTAAAATCATCTATTTAGGACTTGATAATTAAATCAATGTTCTTGAGGATTTCAAGAAAATCTAGGTTCTCCCTCCCTATGTAAATTTCCAATGACTGTTCTGTATTTTACGGATCAATTAGTCGTTGTTAATTAAACTGACTTTTAACGATGGACAATCATTTGATGTGGCTGCAAATTTCGTTAGATGTATTTACTGTGAGCAAATTCATATACATATTGCTATTTGTCGCTAATTTTAATAGAGATATATAGAAGAAAATTGGTGAATTCACCACTAGCTAGGTATCTATTTATCTTTTATTTTTACCCCCGGTATATTCTAATTTTTGAGGTTTTTTGTATCTGCCATGCAAAACGTTTTGTATATTTTCCAAATTTTCCAAAACAATTTAGCAAGTTTATTCTTTCCCGAAAAGTTCTGTTTAAATAACAAACCCCCTCCTCGTTTAGATAAAATAAGCATAAAATTCTCCAATTTGTTAGGAACTTTTTTTATTCCTAGAAAGCCAAGTTGAAGCATACATAAAAAAAAATCCGGGTAATGAAATAGCACTGGTCTCCGGCTATAAATAGCGGAGTAGATAGCATCTCTTTATATATTAAGTAAAATTGTATTCATTTTGAAGTGTCACTCTCTATATCCTTTGTTTTCGAAACACACCTCTCTCAAGGTCCGTCTAGAAGTTAAATAATCTTAATCTTATTTTTTGTTCACTTCACCATTTCTTATTTGTTGTAGATTCGGATGATCATATACTGATGGTCTCTGTTTCTGTTTCACTCGTGTATATGAAACCGTTGCTACTGTTTTATTCATTTGGTTGTTATAGTGTTAGCTCCTCGATAATTTCAGAGTTGTTCCTTAATTCTCTTTATCTTCTCCTTTATTTTTGAACGAAAAAAAAGGAATAAAATCTTGTAACCTATTTCGATTATGATCTCGTTAACGTATGTTTTTGGTATAAGTTCTCGAACGTTTTCTTGTCTAAATTCTTCAAAAAATTTTCCTTGGAACGAAAAGATATGTCGACAGAGTCGTATGAAGATGCGCTTGAAAAACTAGGAGAGCTTCTCAGGTACGTACACACACACACACACTACTCTCTTTCTCTCCCAATCAGATCCCACATTTTGAATTTTCCAGGTTGTGTGATGATCACAACCGTAGATCATTGACCACATATCTTGAATTAATTTCATCAAATAATAATTTTGTGTCCTAAATTTAGTTTAATAGAAATGGTCAATTACTTTGCAGTAAGAAATCGGATCTCGGGAACGTGGCGGTCGCAAAGATCAAACAGTTAACGAATGAGCTAGAGGAACTTGATTCCAACAAGTCATCAGATGCCGTAGAACGAATCAAATCTGGATTTATCCATTTCAAGACTCATAATTATGAGTACGTACGCTGTTCCTTATTATTCCGTATGGATTCGTCCATTTCAATAATTTTAATTTAATATGGATAAAATATGGATACCTTTTTCTCCAAACACTTACATATATAATAATAGTGCTTATAAAGTTAAATACTTATTTTTTAATCTAGTTATTTAATCAAAAGGGTACAAGACTGAAAAAAAAAAAATACTTTTTATAAGTTATGGATCTTTTTTTACTTTCATTAAACGTGTTATCTAATCAAAAGGGTATAATGTTTGCTCATTATATTATTTTTTTCATAAATTTCCAGGAAGAATCCTTCTTTGTACAATGCACTTGCCAAGAGCCAGAGCCCCAAGGTTTTTTAGTTTTGCCAATCTCTTTATATTATGTTTTTCCTTTTAGTGATTGCCGACTTTTTCCCAACTTGCCAAAAAAGGGTTTAATCCAGTAATGATGATGGTAGCTTTTTGGGCAAGCCATAGAACACAAACAAACAAAAACCTAGAAATTAACCTTAAAGTTAGAGAAACGATGAGACTAGCTGAAAGAGATCATTTTACTCAATGCGAATTTTTCTTTTTCAGTTTCTTGTGTTTGCTTGTGCGGATTCCCGAGTTTGCCCTTCTCACGTCTTAAATTTCCAACTTGGTGAAGCCTTTATCGTTAGAAACATTGCAAACATGGTGCCACCTTATGACAAGGTTCGTCCTAACATAAATATCTCAATTTTTTGTTTGTGATTAAACAACAAAACTGATATAAGCTTTGTCTTTGGAAACTTTCAGACGAGACACTCTGGTGTTGGTGCAGCCCTTGAATATCCAGTTACAGTACTCAACGTACGTACTAATTAATTAGTGGCCCTCTTCGTTAATTAGCATAGCATCTATGATCGATCATTACTGGAGTTTCTTCATGAGGATAATGCTCTTGTTTGGCTACTAAAGTAGTAATACACAAATTATCTTTCAACAACAAAAGTGAGCCTTTAAGATAATGTTTGTCATTATCAGGTTGAGAACATTCTGGTGATTGGTCACAGTTGCTGTGGTGGAATCAAGGGACTCATGTCCATTGAAGATGATGCAGCTCCCACGAAGACGTAACTAATCTCAAAACGGCTAATTTAATCAATATCCTCTAATTGCATGGTTAACCATGAGATCCTTGGGATTCAAGACATAGTTTCTTGATTAGTGTTTTTTGAAATGGCAGCGACTTCATAGAAAACTGGGTCCAGATATGTACACCGGCCAAGAACAGGATCAAGCAGGATTTTAAAGACCTAAGCTTCGACGATCAGTGTACCAACTGTGAGAAGGTAAATCAAAAAGACAATCTTTTTCTCCATATACTCTATTTTTACTTAGAAGCTGAGACTGTCTGTCTGATGCGAGCAGGAAGCTGTGAACGTGTCCTTGGGGAATCTGTTGTCTTACCCGTTTGTGAGAGAAAGAGTTGTGAAGAACAAACTCGCCATAAGAGGAGCTCACTACGATTTCGTGAAAGGAACGTTTGCTCTCTGGGAACTCGACTTCAAGACCACTCCTGCTTTTGCCTTGTCTTAAAAACACATTCCTACTCTATGTTGCTACTAAGTGTTTTTCTTATAATCTTCCTTTGCTGCTTCTGTTTCTTCTTAATGTATGTCTTCTTTCTGTTTGAAAAGAAATGAACAATAAGCTATAAAAGAGCATTTTCGTATACATCTTCATTGAGTTTACACATTCATATGCTACACTCAACTCAAAGTCTCTCAAGGGATGGGGTATACAACGACCTTCCCTGTGGCATGGTTCGTTTCTAAGTATGAGAACGCATCAGCCACGTGTGAGAACGGGAACGGTCCTTTGGGATCAACCACAGGCTTCACCTTCCCACTCTCAATGTATGGGTTCAGTTTCTTCAAAACGGCACCGTTGGATGTCACAACGAATCTGAAACCAGGAGGCGTGACTGCCCCGGTCAAGGCCACAACTTTCCCTCCTTCCTTTATCACCTTCACTGCCTTATCACACATCCCTTTGAACAACAAAAGAGTGTTCTTGAATTAAAATTTTTGTTGCAAGAAACTAGATTATGTGTTAACTTATAATGCTTTTGTTCTGTTTTTACCAATGGCGTCAAAGACGACATCAAATTTCTCAGGCAAGTCTTCTATGTTCTCCTTTGTGTAATCAATGGCTAAATCAGCACCCAGGCTTCTCACTAGCTCTAGCTTCCCTGTGCTCGCTGTTGCAGCCACCTTTGAAGCTCCATACACTTGCTTCGCAAGCTGTAGTCAGACAATCAATTTAAAGAATCAATCAACAATCACCAATCTCTGATTCTTATTTTAGTAAGGAGCGACGGATTCGACCTGAATCACAAGGCTCCCTACTCCTCCGGCGCCGTTGAGAACTAGAATTGATTTTCCGGCGGAGAATTCCGTCCTAACGAGACCTTCGTCGGCGGTTTCTATAGCTAGTGGAAGCCCTGCGGCTTGAGCGAAGTCGATGTTTTTAGGTTTTAATGCTAATAGCTTCTCTTCCACCGCCGTGTACTCCGCCAGAGAACCGAATTGCTTCGGCCCTTCCAACGCTTTCTCGCTCACGTTTGCGTAAACTTCATCGCCTTCTTTGAAATCCTTCACAGCACTCCCCACCTTCACCACTACTCCGGCGACGTCGTATCCCGGAACCGTCTGCTCCGGCGACGATTTAAATTGGAAGAAAATTAAGCATCTGAAATCCTCTTAGGTTTTGAAAGAGAGAGAGAGGGGAGAAATTTACCGGGAGAGGCGAATCGGTGGCTTTGAATTTCCCTTGCCGTCTCTTAGCGTCGACGGGATTAAGAGCCGCCGCAACAACCTTAATCAGTACCTGATCCTCTTTGATCTCCGGAACCGCAATGTTGCTCTCCAGCTTCAGAACATCCACTCCGCCGTAGTCACCGTAAACCCAAGCCTTCATCTCCTTCGGAATTGACGTATCCTCCGTGACAACTACTTCCGCTGAAGTACTCTGAGAGCTCGCCGAGATTCTTAATGATTTCCTCGTCGCTATTTGCACGCCTGATCCGAATCCAACTATGTTCCGCCGGTAAACCGGAGATTTTGAGAGACAGCAATGACGAAGAAGAGGTGTCTCACGGCGGAGCACAGGAGTAGTGGCGGTGGTTGTTGCAAGCGCCGCGTTCATTTTCAGACTGCCGCTAATTTCTCCAACCGGCTTATCTCTTTCGCTTCCTCTGCTTTATTCGAATTAAGACCACTCCCACGTTTCATGTCTTTCTCTGATTGGTCGGACTTTTATGTGGTTGGCGTTTCTATGTCGAAGACTCGAGAACCGATGTTCAAAATGTCATGTAGTCCATCCACTGATATTACACCTGACACAAAGTTTCAATATGATGACACAAGAGGAAAAGTGCAATGTTGTTTTAGATTTTTTGACATAGACAATGTGACGTTTTTGCCTCCTCAAAACACCTCTGAAAACGTTTCTACTTCAAACTGTAACGCAGCCAACATTGATGGGCTCATAATTTTTTTAGTGGGCTAACAATGAAAGCCCAATAATCCGAAACAATTGTTAAAAGCAAATCCGATCATTCATCTTGCACGAGCACGACGATGACCATACACAACCGCGCACAACGAAGCACGATGTGTACACGTGGACGGTTTAGTATTGGATCAGTGGCTAAGCTTCAAAATCGACCGTCCGTTTCCTCACGCCCATAATTCAAAAGAGAAAAAGCTTCTTGAGTTTTTTCCGGGAATTTCATTGAACGTGACGTCAATCAGATCTATCCTCTGTCTCAACATTCGATCATCGAAAAGGTAAGCTCTGAATTAAAACCCTAATTCTCCGAGAATTCGTATGTTCCACTTATTTTCTACAATTTGAATCTTCTATGCATACAATGCGGTTCCAGTGTTGTCCTCATTTCAAAACAGTCTAGCTTTAGTTTCGATGTATGTTGTAAATAATAATCATGCACGTACAGTTTTTGATGTTTGAATTCAAATTCCACCTGTTTCTGATTTTTAAGCGCCAGAAAAACAGACTTGTTTCTTGTTATTGTTATAATCTGGCAGAATTACACCAGAAAAATTGACAATTTTGTTGTCGTTAAGATCGTACGATATGACTATTTGGATCTAGAATTATTTCGAATCTCTGCTCTCTCCTTTTCTCCTGGAAATGTTTCATCATTGATCTGCTTCTCATAACTCTTGTGCCTTGTTGCTCAATGTATGATCTAAATAGCTTTTAATGAATTTGAAATTGAAAAGAAGAACTTATGATGTGTGTCATTATTACAGGCTCTTCTTATTGGACAAAAAAAAATGGCAGAAACCAAACCCGGGTTGAGAAAGCCGGCTTTCACTAAGGTTGATCAGCTGCGTCCTGGGACTAGCGGACACAATGTCACCGTGAAGATCGTTAGCACAAAAATGGTGTTACAGAAAGGTCGTGCAGATGGTTCTCAGGCTCGTCAGATGCGGATTTCTGAATGCATTCTTGGAGACGAGACAGGAGTTATCATCTTTACCGCAAGAAACGACCAAGGTACTTGCTTACATCAATCAAGAAATACAAAATAAAATCAGTCTGTGTTGCGATCCAGTTGAATTGTTACATGTAATCTTGATTTGGTTCTCTTGTGTTGTGTAGTGGACTTGATGAAAGAAGGATCGACTGTAACTCTACGCAACGCCAAAATCGACATTTACAAAGGATCAATGAGGCTAGCTGTAGACAAGTGGGGTCGCGTTGAAGTCACAGAGCCTGCGAGCTTCACAGTGAAAGAAGACACCAACATGTCGCTTATCGAGTATGAGCTCGTCAACGTTGTTGAATGAATGACAATTTCCTCGAAGTACTTTCGTTTTCCCGCTAGAGAAACGTTCAATAACAAAAGAGAGTACAATCGTAACCGTTTAAATGTTGGCATCAAGAAAGAGTTACTCTGATATCTATATCTTGCACAAAGCTATGAAAGAGTGATGATACCTCTATCAAAGTGGATGCAGAGCTTTGCTTGTTAATTATGAACTGTTACAGCTTTTGTTTTGCGAATGTCAACATACTTGTTAAGGCTGCTTTCGTGCAATATTATTATTACTCTCGTTTCTCTTTGCCTCTTTTCAAAAATGCTATTGAAATACGATATTATTATGAAGTGATCAAAAACTTTACAGAAAGAAGCTCATAACAGAGCAACCATATATAGCATACGTATGGCAAGAACAAGAGAAAATCACCAAAAACCAAAGAACTATTTAAGCATCCAAGCTATTTATTTGTTATGTCAAAAGACATATACACCTACTTCTCCTAACATCCAAAACATTCACAACTTCCACATGATCACTCGCTTCCTCCATGCTTTGCCTCTTAAGGACTCAAAGCTCGTCCCCATCCTCGCCCCCGTGCTGGTTGTATCCTCCAAGATTGCATCTGGGACTAAAGCCACGCCCCCATCCTCGTCCGCCGAGCCGCCTTGCCGGTTGTCTCCGGCCGGTGGCTCCATGCAAGTGATTCCCATTAAACCATCCGAAAGTGTCAGGCTCTCTAATGATCCCAGGAAAAGCCACGCGTTCTCTTATCAATCTAGTGTTTCGCGAGGTTCGTCTGGCCATGGACAGTCGTCGAACGTGCTGCCTCCAAAACGCGGCGAATTTCTCCTTCCAATTAACCGAATCACCGGACCCGTTCACAGCAACATGCTTAGCTTCTACCAAACACCTCTGTTTCCACAAGTCGTTGTCTGAAGCCAGATACCGCATCTCTGTACAAACGCAAGCCATCCTCGCAACACTCGCGCCGGGGAGCGACTCTACTATCTTCAGCTTTAGCTCTGTTGGTAAACGCATCAAGCAAGGTGGAAGTTCCAAGCCGGCTTTATCGCAGAGACCAATCAACAACGGGATCGCAAGACCATCTTTCACCATTCTCCAGAACATGAACACCTCACGGTAGATGCTCGATGAGCCTTGCTTGTCAGACTTCAAAGTATCTAAAACAAGATCCATCACAGGCACAAACCTACGCTTATCAAGAGAAACCCTTTGGCCCTTGTACCCACTTAGACTTCCGTGAACTAAAACCAAATACCCAAAGCTCTGAAAGTTCACGGTAACAGACTCGATATCGGTATCGTTGCCGGTGATTAGCTCAGGCAAAGTATACCTGAGGGATACCGAAAGCAACTCTTTTGAAAAGCTAAACTTATCAGAGCCATGATTGTACAGCACAAACCCAGATTCCAACATCACGGCGTGGACTGACATAGCCAAGATAGTAAACTCACATGTATCACCAGATTTCTCAAGCAATATCTTTTTCAAGAAGAATGGTTCGCTTAACCTTTTGCTTCCGGCGGCAGCTAACTCCACATCAAACTGATCTACATCCATCGGCTCTGAACACGAATTTTCTTTCCCGGTGGATGATGATCCTTCCCCTGAATCTTCATCGGTTTTCGATTGATCTTCGATTTTCATATCTACATCGGTCGCCGCGAATCCAATACCCATCGAATCGTGAACAAAAGCCTGATTCTTCTCTGATTGTGGACCTAAGGTTGTTCCAGATCCTCCCGATTCGCCGTCGTCATTTGGAGCAAGGGATTGATGTGCCTCTGCCGACGAGGCGATTATTCCGATCTCTTCAACAGATGCAAAAAAGGCAGAGCGATCGAGAGAGTAGTAAATGAGGTCACCGGATGTTACACCGAGCGATCGGAGCGTATCCTCCTCCGGCGAAGGCGCGAGGAGCTCGTCCTTACGGTTAAGAGATAGATGAACGGAGGAAGGCACCGATGCATTGATCCTTCGCCGGAGATCATTGAGGGTGCTCGTATCGGCTAATTCAAGTTTTAGGGTTTCTCTAGTCTCGTGACGTCTCAACCGCAGCTTCATTGTCATCGTACTTTTGTGATCTGCTTCACCAGGAAGAACATGACGAGAAGTGTAAATTATAGCTTTGGGTAAATCAGTGGGCTTTTCAATTATGGGCCGTGTTTTAGGCCCGTTCATAACTTCCTGTTTTACGTTTTGCTTTGTTTTGGTTGATTGTTCCTAATTCCTAAATCCTAACTAATCTTTCTTTCGGACATGAATCCCACTTTTAAACTGTTCAGGGTTTGGTCTGAATAATACATTTCACTTTTAAACTGTCTGAACTCTGAACTACCCCCTCTTAACTTTATGTTTGCGTTGCTACTATATAATCCTGTATACAACCAAAAAAAGTTAGTCAACTTAAACGTATATACCATATCTCGACACAGAGAGACATCGACCAATCTCATCAGCTGATACTACTAATAGCAAAATTAACTGTTTATAGATTTAGCTGACCAATAGAAAAACTAGAGAACACACAATGGATTAGCTTTCGAATAAGTTACTAATTTGGTATTAAAATATGATATGTATCAGAGAAGAAGCGTATAAAACCAAGAAGGTCCTGCCGATAATAATCAAATAGAAGAATAATTACGAATACAATACACAGACCCACCACGCCAATAAGACCGTTGCTCACAACGTTCCAAACAAAAATCCCCCAATTTTTTTTATTTTCAAAAAAGTTGGATTTATTATTAATTTATTATCTTCCCCTTCCTCTTTTTTTCAAGCACACTTACTTACCGTTGGATCTCCGCGGCTAAGTAAAATCCCTAAATTGTTCAATCACAGCAATTTGATTCCTCTTACCTGAATCAAATCCAATCAAATAAAATCTTCCCATTTCTTGAACTTCTTCTCATTATCTCATCTAAAATCACCGATTCTCGATCTTACACTCGACCAAAAATGGCAGCTTTAGCACCCGGAATCCTCCAGAAGCTAATCGACGGGATGAAAACCGGAGTTAAACCGACCGGCGAACACAGAAGCTCTCTATTACAGGTCACCGATATCGTCCCCATCGATCTTGACGAGAAGAATCTTTTGCCCAAACAAGGCTTCTTCATCAAAGTCTCGGATTCCTCTCACTCGATCTACGTCAGCCTTCCTTCGGATCAAGACGACGACGTTCTCAGCAACAAGATGCAGCTTGGTCAGTTCATCTACGTCGATCGGCTCGACCCAGGGACCCCTGTTCCGATCGTCAAAGGCGCTAGGCCGATTCCGGGACGACATCCTCTGCTCGGAACTCCTGAGCCATTGATGAGCACACGAGGGAAGACAGAGAAGGAGCCCGGTTCGAGGCCGAGAAGAGGCTCTTGGGGTCAAAACGGTGACTTTCCGTCTCCTTTCGTGTTAAAGCCTGCGCCTTTGGATTTTGATCAGTGCACGCCGGCGAAGCATCGGCTCGGCGAAAGGAGGTTCGCGGCGGCGGCGTCTCCGGTGGTGATGACGAGAGGGAGGTCACCAGGTGGTGTTAGGTGTTCTTACGGAGGAGGGCTATTGGGGAAAATGGCGGATCTCAAAGGAGAGAGCCCTGCGGCGATGATGAGGAAGAGCTGTGTTGTTCCGCCGAGCTCGAAGTTTCCGAGAAGCAGAAGTGTTTGCGATAGAGAGACGGCGAAGATCTCTGTTTCTTCTGCTCTTCTTAGTCCGTTTAAATCCTCTGTAGGTACATTTTGTTTTTAGTTTATCTTTTTGGCTTCTAAGCATAATTTGATTCCTTTGAGAAAGAGAGATAGTGTTAACAATGGAGTTTCTTTGCAGGCAAAGAAAAGCAACTCGCCGCCTCCGAGTTCACGCACGAGAAGAGCAACCGCTTTGGTGGAAGAGGAAAGAGATGCTCCAAAGTCTACCTCGAAGTTGGCTTCTCCAAAGTACGAACCTAAGCATGTTAAGCTGGAAAAACCAGAGAAGAGTTCGAGTCTACCAGGAAGACTCAGCTCACTGAGCAAGGTGATTCAATCTCCCACTTTCATATTATCTGGATTTGGCTTATATGTGTTGGTCTTTTACATGTATTCAAAAATGTCTTGGTGATACTGAGAGATGTCTTTTGATCTTTACAGGAAGCTATGCAGCAACGAGAGACGGCGCAGAAGATAGCTCTTCAGGCTTTGCGAGAAGCTACAGCCACAGAAACAGTCGTTCGTCATCTCAAGTATACACACACAACTGAATCTCCTTTTATCGTTTTCATTGTCTGGTTTATGGGATGTTTGAACTTAAAATGTGAATCTCTTTGTGCAGGACATTCGCCAATCTAAGCAAATCAGCTAAAGCTGATTGTCCTGCTGCGTGCTTTGAGAAGTTCTTGGAGTTTCACAGCCAGATATCTGAAACCATGAGCGAAATCTCGTCCATTGAAGCAGCAGTTTCATCAGCTAACGAGAACAAATCCGAGGATGGATCGTCTTCGATACTTCACGAAATCCAGCCCAACTCTATTGATCAGGAGAGAACCGCAACAAAGAGAAGAACCACTTCCCTGAAGCAGCAGCAAAACCATAAGCAACTGAGATCAAACGATGAGAACAAGAACCCATCAGCAGCTCCTCCTCCTTCCGGGTTAGGAAACACGGTGAGGCTGTCGAAAGAGATTGAGAAGGAAGCTGCGAATTGGTTCATGGAGTTCATAGAAAAGGCTTTGGAGAAAGGGATGAAGAAGTGTAAAGGCACAGGTGATGCGGATGTTAAGAAGGTTCCACAGTCTCTGATTCTCCAAGTTGTTAACTGGGTTGAAGCAGAACACTCTGCTGATAACACGAGACGACCGGTCCATCCAAAAGCGTCACATATCACTAGAAAGCTCAGAATCAAACTGAAGAATCCTTGAAAACTCACAAGTGAAGATATTGAGATTTTTATGTTGTTCCCACTTCTACTGGTTACTGTGAAAAAAGGCTTTTAGTTTTCCACTGCTTATAGAGAAATGGTTCATGGATTCTTTTGTTACTGGTCAAGTTTATATATATTGGTTATTCTCAAATGTCACAGATAAAAAGATGGCTATATCAGTCAGAAGAAGAAAAAAGATAAATATATCAAGAAATGGTTTATTGATTACACATTCTTATGTGTAAAAAATGTGCTGAAGACAAATTTATCATCATAATCAAGAAAACCTAGAGATCATACAACTCCTGGTTTCCCAAAGCAATAATAATCCATTTATTAACCAACCTCGAGGAATAAGCATAAGTCAAAGCTAATGATACCTTGGTTCGGTTTAGAGCCAAGCAGGGTTCTTGAGGGCAGTGACAACAGCCTTGACTTGCAAGTAATTGCTGAGGCTGTAGATACCTTTCTCTCTCCCAATGCCACTCATTTTATACCCTCCAAATGGAATCGTGATATCAAGTACATCGAAACAGTTTATCCAAACGGTCCCAGCCCTGAGCGCTCGCATCAGCCGATTCGCTGTGTCCAGGTTCTGTGTGAACACTCCCGCAGCTAAACCGTACCTCGAGTTGTTCGCCCTCGCAATCACCTCATCAAGGTCCCTAGGGAAACATCAAGAGCCAATCAGTAAAGTTTTGATCAGAAAAATGTCAACAAAGAGTTAAAATATTTGGTTTAAACATTAGATTTGTACTTGAATTTAAGTATGGTCTGAACCGGTCCAAAGATCTCATCTTGCGCTATGAGCATATCATCCTGCCAAGACCCATATAAAACTATATTCGTAAGATATTGTGACAGTGATTGAGTTGATTTTAGGGTAAATGTTCTGTTTACTTACTTTCACATCTGAAAAGACAGTAGGTTGAATGTAGTAACCCTTGGAACCAAGACGGTCACCACCAGCTTGTAAGGTGGCTCCACTTTCAACTCCATACTTGATGTACTTCAGGATTTTCTTGAATTGCTCTGAGTCTACCTGTAAGTTATTAATTTCCAAACAAGTTAGGAACTTCGAAATGCTGATTTCTCTTTCACTGATAATGTGATTACGGTTTCATCAAGCAATGATTCTACCTGGGGACCTTGCTCAATGCCTGACTTGAAGGGATCGCCAACAGCACGATTGATTGCACGAGCTTTAGCTTTCTCTACAAACTCATCATACACACGTTCATGTACAAATGTACGCGAGCCAGCACAGCAGCATTGTCCCTGCAAGTTATCCAGAAGAGGTTATCAGGAAGGTATTGATATTTAAGATTGTAGATTCATGGTATCAAACAAGACCAAGTAAATATGTTTGTTCGAGTGATGTTACCTGGTTAAAGAACAATGCGAAATGAGCAAGCTCGACGGCTTGATCCACATCAGCATCTTCACATACAATGAATGGTGACTTGCCTCCAAGCTCAAGAGTCACTGCCTTAAGGTTGCTTTTTGAAGCCAACTCAAGAATAATCTTTCCTACATCAGTAGACCCGGTGAAAGCAACCTGCAGAGTCGCAGAGGATTTATCAACAATTCTATACAAGGCAAATCTTTTGAACTATAGCATCTTTTATCTCATGGTCGTGACTCACGTGCAGCAGCTTTTCCAAGAAACTAGGAAAAGCTCTGTGGAAACGTATGGCCACAAGAAGAAGTTTTCAAGATCTTACAAACCTTATCAATGTCCATGTGACTAGCAATGGCCGCACCAGCTGTTGCACCAAATCCAGAAACTATATTCACAACTCCTTCAGGAAGTCCAGCCTGTCATCAATTTCAGTTGCTTGAGAAAAAAACATGACAATATTATATTCAACTAAATCAGTCTAGTCTACTGTAAAATGATAATCCAAACCTATAAGTTGGATTAAAGCAAAAATCTTTAGTGGAGAAACGAAAGTAGAAACAAGAGTACATGGTTACCTCGTGAAGTAGTCTTCCAACAAGAAGAGCAGATAAAGGAGTTTGCTCAGCAGTCTTGAGAACAATGGTGTTTCCGCAAGCTAAAGCCGGTCCAAGTTTCCAAGAAAGCATGAGAAGAGGGAAGTTCCATGGGATGATCTGTCCAGCGACTCCAATAGGCTCATGGAGGGTCTGCACATGGTGTGAACCATCTCCTGGAACTGTCAGTCCATGGATCTTGTCTGCCCAACCTGTGAAACTCATCGAATAACAATACACAAAGATACATAAAAGGATTCGTTCATAAGTCACACAAACATACACATCAGTGATTTGTGTTTGGTTTTACACTCACCACCATAGTACCGGAACACCCTAGCAACCATAGGCACTTCAATATTAGCAGACTGTTCATAAGGCTTCCCATTGTCCCAACTCTCAAGAGCTGCAATCTCGTCGTTGTGTTTCTCAATCAAGTCAGCGAAACGAAATAGTATCTTTGATCTCTCCTGAAGGAAATTTAAGTCAAAGCTAAGAGAGTCATTTCAAAAAGCACAAAAATGGAAACTTTCTTAATATCTAACAAACACAAAAAAAAAAAAGGAAACGTTTTTGTTATTACATAAGCTGTCATTCTAGGCCATGGTCCTTCATCAAAGGCCTTACGTGCGGCTAAGACCGCACGGTTCACGTCTTCAGCATCTCCCTCAGCCACCTGAGCAATCACTTCCCCAGTCCTTGGATCCAAAGTTGGGAAAGTCTTTCCTGCAAAGACAAACAGAGAGACTGTATCATTTCATCACTCAATGTGAAAGTAACATTCACACATTCACTCACACTAGTGAACAAATTTGGAAAATCTGACCTGAGGCTGCATCAACGAATTTTCCGCCGATGAGGAGCTGTGTGTGCTCGACTTTCACCGGTGGAGTGATCGGGTCTTCGACAGAAGCGGCGGCGAGGTTGCTGTATCTGTGAGCTCCTCTGTTCAAGTGTGGATTTTTGCCTGAAAATGAAACAAAACGAGAATCAAAACCGATTCCGATTCAAATTGAGATTCATCTCTGAATAATAGAGACGACGATCATCACAAAAAAATATTCAAACCCATCGCCAAAAATGTGGATACAGAATCCCAAAACAAAATCCATCGCAGATCATCGATCGGGAAAAAGAGAAAAATGGAAAATCGATAAAGCACGATTTCAAAAAACAAACAGAACGATTTCGATTCCCGATGCACAAATGAACAAACAGAGGGAAACATCTGGGACAGAGCCCGATCGGATTCTGAAAAGCAATTTACACAAAGATGGATCGCATCAGATATATATATATATACCTCGAAGAGCCAAGAGAGAAGGCGAGGGCATGAAGGAACGGGAGAGCAACGAAGAAACTCTTCTTAACGCCATGGAAACTTTTTTTTGTGTGCTTCTCCTCGACGGCTCTACAGTGTCCCGATCTCTTTTGTATGGGTAAAGCTAAAGCTCTTTGGTAGGCTGCACGAGTATGCTTTCGTTACGTTATTATATATAACAAACGTGGAAAGAACCATTTTAAGAAGTCAATATTATCCATTTCCACATGTCGACACACAAAAAGGGAAAACGAGTCAAATTAAAACTCGTGACAACATTTTTAAATGTCTTTTTTCAACACGAAAATATAATATCATCTGCCGTCCAAAAAATAACAATATATATGTATATAAAAAATCATTTTAAATTAATAAAATATTTTCAAATGATATTTTATCATTTAAGTACCATATATGCAGTGGCGATTGGCGAATGTTTGTAAGTTATTTTTAATATCACAGACATCAAGATTGTGTTGGCAAAAGAAAATCAAAGTGGTTCATCCCGATTCTCTTAATACAGTTTTGAAATAAGATATAACTTCCTAAAGTAGGAAGAATTGATTTAAAGTGGTTCACCTACCACACTAAAAATAGGTCATTGTTTTAGTTATATCGTTATTCCCAATATCACAGGCTAATCAAATGTGAACATGTAGATGAAAATATTTGATATATTATTACTATAGTTCGTCTGTGCTGTGTGTTGTGTTGGCATTGAAACTTCAAGATAAATTTGGAGAAATCTGAGATTACGATATCAGCTGTTACTATATGTGGTATATATGTTTGTGCTAAAATTGTCACTTATTATTAGTTGTCAAAAAAAAAAAGAACTTAGTTAATGTAATTCCAATCATCTTTTTCTGTAACTTCGATCATGATTAATCAGCTGTTACTAGCAAACAACCAAACCAGATAAAAAGAAGAAGAGAAAGGGTTCTCTTGCACGATGTTCGTTTTAGTGAAAGTTAGGTTCTAGATTGGGCAGGCATGCTTGCTTATATAATGGGCCAATCCTGCGATCCAATTCTCTGGTGTAGACAGAGAGCTCTCTACAAGAACATTACAAAATGATTCATATGTAAAGGATATAAAATTAAATATCAAACATAAACACTTTGCAAACAGTAGTTGTGTGTGTTATGAGTTATCAGTTTTGTTCTTAGCCGCTTCTACACGTTCATATATCTTATTCTATAGTCTAGTAGTAGATTTATTAAATTCCAATTGGCTGTATAGAAAATACTTAAACTTGTACGTCAAAAAAAAAAAAAATACTTAAACTTGTTATGATAAGATATATAAACGTTTAGACGATTGATCTCTCTGTTAATTTTCTAACAGTTAAATATTGGTTAATTTATAGAAATTACAAGAATCTCTGACAACATTTATTTCTGTTAAAAAAATTTACTGACACAATTCTTCCCTTACTTTTGCCAAATTTCCCTATGTATGTGTGCTTTGGTCGAGCTTCGAACCTGACATGCGTTGCACGTGAGATATCGCGTGGTGTGAACGTGCGTAAAAGCGAGTGAGAGAGTATTTTAGATGCGAATATAAAGAAACAGATATAAAAAGCCAAAAAGCTAAAAAGCCGAAAAAACGATATATTCGAGGCAAAAGCAGAATCGTCCGTATTATTATCATCACATAATAATTTCCTAATTTTCTCGTTGGAATTATAACAAATAAAATACTAAAATAAATGAAATTGATATTTTCAATCCTTCACCGAATCTCCACTTCTCCTTCTTCTTATATCTTCCGCTTCACTTCACAGCAGAAGAAGCCTACAAAAACCCTAATCCCTCTCTCTCATTTCTCCTTCTCTCGGAGTTTCTTTGGCTCGCTCCCGAAGCTAATCAGCAGAGCAACCATGGATGCCAAAGAAGCCCCCGCCACCGATCTGAAGAGACCGAGAGAAGAAGATGATAACGCCGCCGCCGCCGCCGTCGCATCCATGGAAACGGAGAACTCAGCTCCGGCCACTAACGGCGAGCAGACGAAGGAGCCTGCTTGTTTCTCCACCGTGATTCCTGGGTGGTTCTCCGAGATGAGTCCCATGTGGCCAGGTCGATTCTCGTTGTTGTTTGATTCAAAGGGGGAAATAAAAAAATTCTCTTTCTTTTTGGAGTCATCTTAGCTCAGTCTCTAACTGAATTGCTTCTGTTTTTCACCATATTCTGTTTTTGATTGATGAGATTCCTCTGAATATTTTTTTTATAAAAAAAATCTGAGATTTTGATGATCTGAGATGCAGGGGAGGCACACTCTTTGAAGGTTGAGAAAATTCTGTTTCAAGGGAAATCAGATTACCAGGATGTGATTGTTTTTCAGGTAACAAAACAATGACTTTTGCTAAATTGTTTCATCTCTCTGTTTTGTGTATGATTTATCATCCTCAATGAACACTTTCATGTTATTGCTTTTTTTTTTTTTTTTTTCTTAGTCTGCGACGTATGGGAAGGTTTTGGTATTGGATGGAGTAATCCAGCTTACGGAGAGAGACGAATGTGCCTATCAAGAAATGATCACTCATCTTCCCTTGTGCTCTATCCCCAACCCAAAGAAGGTAAAATCTAAAAATTATTACAGAGACTCTATTTGTCTGCACAAATAAGGACCTTTATTGCATTCTGGTGTGTGTGTGTGTGTGTACTTTAGGTTATCAAAGTCTATTGCTTTTGAATGTAATGAAAGGTTATTAAGTTGAGTTTTTTCGTCTCCAGTAAAGTAGGATGACTAAATCATTACTTATGGAGAAAATAGAGTAACGAGACTTACTTTTTATATCGGATATGGGTTTTAGTAACTAATTGATCTGGCATAAAATGATTACAATCCAGAGAGTGGTGATAGGAATGTCCACTAGAGAAAAAGGTAGATGATCATCATTTTTCTGCTTTTTTAAATGTATAAACTCTGATGGCCTCCTGAGAAAAAGGTACATTGCCCCACGTTGTTCTTCTGGCAAAGTTTGAGAACTCAAGTAACTTTATTGGGTAATGATAATATGATAGAAAGTGTTTGAACTGGCTTATATGATTATCCTCTAGCTTGTTATTAAGGACTTGTTTGAGGAAAAGGTAGATCATCACAGCTTCTTACATAGAAAATAGCTTTTGCTTGGATAATCTTAACTATTTTGGGTTAAAGTAAAGTGGAGTAGCTAGTTTTTGCTTTTCGCCAGTAAAGCTATAAGCGAGAGTTATCTGATCAATGTTCTTCTAGTTATTTCGTAGGTATTAGTCATTGGAGGAGGAGATGGAGGTGTCCTGCGTGAAGTTGCACGCCATGCTTCTGTTGAGCAGATTGACATGTGTGAAATCGATAAAATGGTGGTCGACGTGAGTGTACCTTTCACATTTCCTTCCATCTCTGTTTCAAAACGAAAGCTCGGATCTGTATCTTTTAGTTCAATCTGTTTCCATCTTCTTGTGAATGTTCAGGTGTCTAAGCAGTTCTTCCCTGATGTAGCAATTGGATACGAGGATCCTCGCGTGAACCTCGTCATTGGCGATGGTACAAACTACTTCTTTTTTCATCTCTCTGTTGTTGTTCTTATCTTCTTTTAAACTGATGCTTGGAGTGTTTATACTACAGGTGTTGCTTTCTTGAAGAATGCTGCAGAAGGATCATATGATGCAGTGATTGTTGACTCATCAGATCCAATTGGTATTTTCTCTCATATCAATAATCAGAGTAAACCCTTGCTGTTTTGTTGAGAAGCAGCGTTTGATTTTGATTACACGTGGTGGTTGTGTGTGTTCAGGTCCTGCAAAGGAGCTATTTGAGAAACCCTTCTTCCAATCTGTGGCTAGAGCTCTTCGTCCTGGTGGAGTTGTGTGTACTCAGGCTGAAAGTTTGTGGCTTCACATGGACATCATCGAAGACATTGTTTCCAATTGCCGTGAGATCTTCAAGGGTTCTGTGAACTACGCGTGGACCAGCGTTCCAACATACCCTAGGCATGTTTTAATGATCTTTCACATTCAATCTCTCATTTTTTGTTTTCGTTGTTGTAGCTTAAACCTAAATGTGTAATATTTTATTTGCAGTGGAGTTATCGGATTCATGCTCTGTTCAACTGAAGGACCTGACGTTGACTTCAAACACCCAGTGAACCCGATTGATGAGAGCTCCAGCAAATCAAATGGACCCTTGAAGTTTTACAACGCTGAGGTAAAAAAAAATCAAAAACTCTCAGTTTACTATTTCTTGCGTTTAGACACTCGAATCCTTAACGTATGCTCTCGTTTCTTCGTGGTTGCAGATTCATTCAGCTGCGTTCTGCTTGCCTTCTTTCGCCAAGAAGGTTATCGAGTCAAAAGCCAATTGAAAAGGGAAAGAAGTAACATGGAGGGATCGTTGCATTTATCAAAAATAAAAGCTTTTCTACAATTTTTTAGAATGTGTTGTTTGTTTCAAGCATGTTTATGTGAGACTGCAACAACTGCAAGCAACAATGTCTACTCTCTTTTTTTAGCATAATAGCATTACACAATCACATATCAGCAAAGCGTACAAGTTTCTTTGCTTTCTGCTCTTTTTACCATTTGACTCAAACTTTGAATTTATCTTCAGCCAAACTCTCTAAGTAGCTTGTTCTACATCAGCCTTCTTTCTCAAAAACCTAGTTTTATAATCATGGTGGCAAACTATCACAAGCCAACCATTTAAACACATTCCCAACACAAATCAAATTTTCGTCGAGTTCCAGTATAAGACACTCCGTTTCCACTCGAACTCAAACTGCATTTGGAGTGTAAACACGGCATCCTCGCCGCGACAGCAAAGCCCAAGAACACCAACATCATCCAGAGGTCACGCCTTGACCATCTTCTTCAAAGACCGAAACACCCAATTTTAAGTGGCAAGAGACGCAGTTTAGTGTAAATGTCGGTTCTATATATCCGGTTTTGTTTAATTGGGAATCAAAACCCGGTTTGTTTACCAAATTAAACAAAAACCGGAGATATAGAACCGACATTAACACTAAACTCTCGACTCTGCGTCACTTGCCTCCATCGCAGCCTTCATTTCTGAAACCCTCATTTCCTCATGTCTTCTTCCTCTTAAAATTGGATGTTCCCCAGGTGAAAGCCTCAGACTTTTCTCTGTACCTTCCGTTGGGTATATGCGGTTTTCCATATCCTCGCTTCTGGTGCGATATATTCAGCACTCTCTTCTCATTTCACACATTCACTTAAAACCCTAAATTTAGGTGTTTGTAACGACTAACGAGGTAATTGCTGAAGTTTACTCATCTCCTATGCTTCTATTTTAGGGAATTTTATTCAAAGTTTTTTGTTTTTGCGTAGTTAACTGTGTTTTTTTTCTTTGTTTCCATCGTATCTTCTCTCCTCTGTTAGGGACAAGTTGTTGAATTTTGGATGTTTTGAAGCGGCGATTTGTTTCACTACTTTAGCTTATTAGTAATGGATCGTGTCAGCAGTCTACCAGACGAACTTCTTTATCAGATCTTGTTCTTACTTCCAACAAAGGATGCTGCTGTGACTTCGGTTCTTTCAAAGAGATGGCTTAATCTGTGGAAACTCAATCCTAATCTCGACATTGACGACTCTGTCTTTCTTCATCCTGAAGATGGTAAAGGGGAGAGGGAAGAGATTAGACAGAGCTTCGTCGATTTCGTGGACAGTGTACTTGCTATGCAGGGTGATTCTCCTATCAAGAACTTCTCCCTAAAGTGTATCACTGGTGTCCATCCAGATATCGTGAACCGTTGGATATGCAATGTTCTGCGGCGTGGTGTCTCTGACCTCAATCTCTTCACTGATTTTTCCGACGAGGACACCGAAGAGGATAGTTATCGTCTGCCTGAAGAGCTGTTCTTCAGTGGTACACTCGTCAAGCTGAAGTTGAGAAGCGAGCACTGTGTTGATTGGTGGTGGTATGGCGGATTAATGAGCTATCCCTTTTCCTTACCAATGCTTAAAAGTCTTGATATTGATTCGGACTTGATCTTTTGTGGTGAGATTGAAGAGTTTATCCCTTATTTCCCTGTGCTTGAGGACTTACGGATGGCTAACATGGAGTGGGGAGAACCGGATGTGACCGTGTCGAGTGCAAGCCTCAGAAAGCTAAGTCTCCACGGCACCGGTTGTGAAGATTTTGTAAATCCAAAGACGGTTTCTTTCGATACTCCGAATCTGCTTTTCTTGAGCTACTATGATTTAGTTGCGGAAGACTATCCATTAGTTAATATGGAGAAACTGGTTCATGCTTCAATCAGTCTTATAGTAACTGATGATCAGGTCACGCGACTAAGAGAGCCAAATAATAATCTGTTAGAGGATGTTGAGAATAACAACGACGGTGACGTTGTTCTCCAATTTGGCAATGTTGTGAAGCTCTTGAATGGCCTACAAAACGTTCAGAAACTTTCTTTTAATGCTGATACTCTTGAGGTCAGGTTTTTTTTTTTTTTTTTTTTCTTTTTTCTGTCATGTTCTTTCTGGTCTGGTCTAGTATTTGTGAATTGTGATTACATGAATTGAAAAAATGTCTATGGTTCTTGTTTCCAGGTGCTTTCTCAATGCTGTGATTCGATGCCTGTGTTCAACAACCTCAAGTTCTTAGGTGTTACGAGTGAAGAGGGTCGAGGATGGCAAGCAATGCCAGCTCTTCTAAGGAATTGTCCACATTTAGAAACTATAATCCTTCAGGTAGAATTGTAAAACCATGAAAGTACATACATGTGTTAAAGATTCAGTTTTTGTTTTTTGTTTTACTTACATGTAAACCTTGTCTCCTTTGTATGCTTTCAGGGTCTAATTCACTGTGTAACAGATAACTGCGGGGATGCTTGTCCCTGCATCTCTCGGGAAGACAAAGGTCTTTCACTCAAGTCTTGTCCAGTGAATAGGTTAGAGATACAAGGCTTTCGAGCAACAATGAAAGAGATGGCCATGATAAAGCATTTCTTGGACTATTTTCTGTGTTTGAAGAGGCTGGACGTCTACATTGAAGACAATGAACCTACACAGCTCAGAAACCGTGAATTGTCTGACTGTGTCTTGGAGATGTTCGAACTCTACAACAAGTTGTCGCCGAGTTGCAATGTCCAGCTCCTGGTTAGTGATTACTTGGACAAGAAGTGGACTGCACAAGGACATGTATGAATAACAAAACTTTGCTCCATAGTTTTTGCCTTAGAATTTGACTTTGCTGTTCAGTTCTGTTTAATTGGCTTGAAAACCGTCTCAAACCAAACCAATGTATTTAGAATGTTCTGTTTGTTTCAAGCATATCTATGTGACACTGCAACAACTGCAAGCGACAATGTCTACATTATTTAGCATAATAGCATTAGATGATCATCTCAGACAAAATCTCTAAGTAGCAGGAGGTTTAGCTTGTTGTTCTACATCAGCCTTCTTCCTCAAGAACCTAGTTTTACAATTGTGGTAACAAACCACACAAGCCAACCATTTAAGAACATTCCCAACACATAAGAAACCCACATAGATACCAGTGTACAACACTCTGTTTCCACTCGAATACAAATTGCATTTGGAGTATACACATGGTATCCTCGCCGCGAGAGAGAAGACCAAGAACACCAACATCATCCAGAGATCACGCTTTTCATGTCCTCTTCGATACAAAGCTGAAAGAGACAAAGCATCACTTCCATAGATGCCTTGACCATCTTCTCCGTCTTCTTCTACGACCGAGACAACCAAACCCATGTTCCAGCCTGCGCTCCACTTAAAGAACTTTCCAGTCAGGTACATGAAAAGAGTACCCTGAACCAGAACCACCATCGCGTAGATCAGCACTGGTGCTTGGTCGAGGAAGCTTTGGTGTTGGTGTAAGAGAGGAGCAATGATTAATTGCTTGGTCCAATTAGAGAAGAAACCGAAGAAAAGCAAAAGAAAGAAAAGAAAGAAGAAGATGAAAACAGAGGTTGACAAGAGAAGGACGTAGAGAGATGTGATGAGACAACCTCTTACTCTGGTCTGACATATTTCGAAAGATCTTCGTACCAAATCAGTCAGCCTCATCGGTTCTTTCTCGGACGTGTAAACAATCGAAGATGCTGCAACGATCGTGGTGGTGGTAAGGAGGTCAAGAAAGGTGTAGGGCAAGAAGTAGAGCAGAGATGTCTGGATCAGCCATAAAATCAGATGATTTTCTGACAAGTCCTCCCAAAAGCTGTGTTGTTGGGAGAGGAATTGGTAATTGAGAGAGACGGTGGTCTGGAGAAACAGATCATTCCCTGACAGGTCCTCCTCAAAACTGAGTTGTTTGGAGAGGAATTGGTAAGTGAGAGAGACGGTAGTTTGGAGGGAGAGCTCAAAGAAGATCAAGAAACAAAAGAGAGGGAGAGAACATAGCAGAAGGAAGAAAGCGAGTTTGATGTTACCGAAGAGTAGCTTCGCAGCTCGTTTTAGTAGTTTGATGACACTTAGCTTCTCATTCATCTTCATCTCTATTGATTCGATGCTCTCTTTCAGTAGAAGTAAAAGAAGAAGAACAAGAAGGGAAATGATCAGATCTGTTCTGTCTCTATAACCGAACCTAAAAGTAGTACTAAATGAAAGACGCCGTCCTTCGTTGACGTTGACTTCTTGACTTCATATATACACCGTATGTAATGTTCCAACAATAGTGAAAATTTGGTAGATAAGCTTCAAATTTACTGTTACATGGACGACTTCTGATTTGGTTTACAAGTCAAGTTTAATTATTGCATTTCATTTCGTAGTTAACTTAGATTGAGAATGAGCAAAAACCTTGATTGATATAAGCCGTATAGTACAAGCTAATGAACAACACTGATAGGTCAAACAACAATAAAATTAAAATGGAATGACTTTAATCTCTATGTAGCAAAAGCTAAGGCTTTCGATCCAATCTCCACATCATCCTTCTTCTCCAAAACTCAAGCTCTACAAATCATAAGCTACCCATTTGATCAAATTCCCAACACAAATCAAACCCACATAGAGACTCGTGTACAAGACTCCATCTCCATTCAAACTCTCACTGCATTTGGAGTATAAACATGGCATCCTCATCGCAAGAGCCAAGACGAGAAACATCAACATCAACCAGAGGTCACGGTTCTCATGTCCTCTTCCATACCAAGCTGAGATAGACAGAGCATCGGTTCCATAGATGCCTTCACCATCTTCATCCTCCACCACCCCGCGCTCCACTTGCTGAATTTCGCGGTCAGTACTATGAAGACAGTACCGCGAATCAGAAGCCACACCGCCTGGAACAGCACCGCTGCTTGATTGCTGAAGCTTTGGTGTTTGCGTGAGAGAGAAGCAATGAACAAGTAGTTGGTTGAATCTGAGAAGAAACCGAAGAAAACAGAGGTTGACAAGAGAGAAGCAATAAAATACATAAGATATGGGATCTGAGTTGAGAAGGCCCAAGTGAAACCCATTAACTAATGGGTGGATATAAAGTCATAAATCTAACTGCATGGAAAAATAAAAGCATCCTCTCGTGAGAAATATTGCGAAGGAGGAGAATATGAGCACCGATGAGAATATATCGGCGGAGGATCGTTATCGTGGTCAGAGGGATTACTGGCGTCAAGTTGCGGAATCCGATGTAGTTATTCAATTCATCTTCTAATTGTTTTGGAGAATTTATCTACGAGATTGTGATTTGTTGGATTGTTCCTTTGTTTCACGGAGTTAACTTTAACTATGATATCATAGTTTCTTTATGATAATGTATCTTAGAGTATCGGATTGTTTATGGACTGATTATTTTGCTTTTAGGGTTATTCTTGAACTAATTATTTTGCTTGCTGATGGATTTTAGGGTTTCGATTTGGAGGATATTTCAGTACCATCATATATGTATGGAAATATCACTGGACTGATACCCGTCGACTGTCAAAGTTATTATTCTTATCGTGTAATGGTCCAGCGTTATGCTAAGTTGGGGCTTCATCGTTACAATATGTTGGAGGTAATCAAAACTTATGTCCTCCCCATTGGTGCTTCACCAACAAATTATGCTCCACATTAATTGAATTTTTCTTTCTTCATCTGTCAGGGGACGAGATTTGAGCTCGATTCCCTAATAAAATTCAACTTCTCACCGAGCCATTTGGCCTCTTACTACATGACCTTTCTTGCACACGATCAAGATCCAGCTGGTAGCACACTGCAGAAAACTTTTCAGGTTCGGGTTGATGAAAAAGAATTTCGCTGTTTGGATTTGGGGTGCTCCATTGCTAGACTAAAACATGAAGGTAAAACATATATATATATATATATATATATATTTAAACCTTTTTCAAAAAAAAAAAAACAGTCGGGCTCAGGATAAAAAAGCTCACTAGCTAATTAAGAACATTGTACAGTGACCACCAGGAAGCCCTTCGTACCGCACTTTCATGGTGGCGCAGTGGGGGATGGTATCTTCAAAGGTGAATTGCCTGATTGGCCGTCCGATGATGATTTCCATGATGGAAAACGATTTTACATGGTAAGATTTATTATACAAGACACATAGTTAAGTTTTTGCTTTGCTCCTAATTAATTAATTAGGCAAATAGTGAGTGATATGTTTTTCTCTTGCAGGTGAAGGAATCAGAGTGGCAAGCCACTGCTTGGATTTCTATGTATTTGGAACTAGTGATTTGTGCAAATGATAGGTCGATCATACGTGTAAGTTGTGTATATAGATCAGTGACATACCATGAATGACTAACAAATAATAATTAACACCAAAATTGTTGTTACAGCTGCCGCAGCAGCAGTCAGATGAGATTCTGTCCAAGTTGAAGATTGTGAAAGTCGCAATAGAAACTGGTATTGAAGACGTGGAGCCGTCGAACGAGAACGAGAGACTCAACGCAAAGAGTGTAAATGTCTACATAACATATAAGGGCTTGACAGAGCTTCAAGTCTTTAAACATGTTTTCGAGATTGGTGAGCATGTTGAACGCAAAGCCATAGTTAGAAGAGTCATCGATGAGCATACAGGAAACTTGACTCTCTTGGGTAAGCTTTGTGGTGGTCAATATGCCAAACCGAAGTGGCCTCCTGGTGTCGAGAGTCCTGTCAAGAGTCCTCCGGGTGTCGAGAGTCCTGTCGAGAGTCCTCCGGGTGTCGAGAGTCCTGTGGAGAGTCCTCCGGGTGTCGAGAGTTGTAAAAAGCGACCTCGTATAGGCTAGGCGTTAATTTATGAGCATCAAATCTAGAGATTTCCTATTCTACTGTTTTAGTATGGATACGATAAGTTAATTTATGAGCATCATATCTAGAAATTTCCTTTTCATTTACCATTAGAGTCCTAAACTAATAATTACTTGTGATCACAAGCATTTGAAAGGAATATACGACCACAACCATTGAAATTTCTGCACGTTTACGTTTCAAACTTCTCTGGGAACATCAAAGGCCTACAAATGACACCTGCTCATGTCTTTTTGTCGTCTCTAATCCACAAGTTGATGAGGAATGTATATAGGCTACCAACTTTGTTCTGTTTGGTTTGGTTGCTCTAAGGTCATCTAACTTATATTAGTCTCTCTGTTTATACAATAATGCAACGAGCTTGTTGGAATCTTCATCAACCATAACTTGCATTCAAAGAGTTGTATACAACACAACTCAAACAAATTATTATGCGTAGATCAGTAACGGTACTTGGTCGAGGAAGCTTTGGTGTTGGTGTAAGAGAGGAGCAATGATTAAGCGCTTGGTCCAATACGTCCAATTAGAGAAGAAACCGAAGAAAAGCAAAAGAAAGAAAAGAAAGAAGAAGAGGAAAACAGAGGTTGACAAGAGAAGGACATAGACAGATGTGATTAGACAACCTCTTACTCTGGTCTGACATATTTCGAAAGATCTTCGTACCAAATCAGTCAGCCTCATCGGTTCTTTCTCGGACGTGTGAACAATCGAAGATGCTGCAACGATCGTGGTGGTGGTAAGGAGGTCAAGAAAGGTGTAGGGGAAGAAGTAGAGCAGAGATGTCTGGATCAGGCATGAAATCAGATGATTTTCTGACAAGTCCTCCCAAAAGCTGTGTTGTTGGGAGAGGAGTTGGTAATTGAGAGAGACGGTGGTCTGGAGAAACAGATCATTCCCTGACAAGTCTTCCTCAAAACTGAGTTGTTTGGAGAGGAACTGATAAGTGAGAGAGACGGTAGTTTGGAGGGAGAGCTCAAAGAAGATCAAGAAACAAAAGAGAGGGAGAGAACAGGGCAGAAGGAAGAAAGCGAGTTTGATGTTGCCGAAGAGTAGCTTCGCAGCTCGTTTTAGTAGTTTGATGACACTTAGCTTCTCATTCATCTTCATCTCTATTGTTTCGATGCTCTCTTTCTTCAGTAGAAGCAGAAGTAGTAGAAGTAGAAGAACAAGAAGGGAATGATCAGATCTGTTCTGTCTCTATAGCAGAGCATAAAAGTACTAAATTAAAGTCGCCGTCCTTCATAGCGTTGACTTCTGACTTCATGTAATGTTCCAATAATTGTGAGGATTTGATTGCTGAAGCTTTGGTGTTTGCGTGAGAGAGAAGTAATGAACAAGTAGTTGGTTGAATCTGAGAAGAACCCGAAGAAAACAGAGGTTGACAAGAGAGAAGCAATAAAATACATAAGATATGGGATTTGAGTTGAGAAGGCCTAAGTGAAACCCATTAACTAATGGGTGGATAAAAAAAAAATATCAGGTCATAAATCATCTGCATCGAAAAGTAAAAAAATCCTCTCGTGAGAAATATTGCGAAGGAGGAGAATATGAGCACCGATGAGAATATATCGGCGGAGGATCGTTATCGTGGTCAGAGGGACTACTGGCGTCAAGTTGCTGAATCCGATGTAATTATTCAATTCATCTTCTAATTGTTTTTGAGAATTTATCTACGAGATTGTGATTTGTTGGATTGTTCTTTTGTTTCACGGAGTAAACTTTAACCATGATATCATAGTTTCTTTATGATAATGTATCTTAGAGTATCGGATTGTTTATGGACTGATTGCCTGATTGCCTGATTGGCCGTCCGATGATGATTTCCATGATGGAAAACGATTTTACATGGTAAGATTTATTATACAAGACACATAATTAAGTTTTTTGGTTTGCTCCTGATATGTTTTTTCTTGCTTTTGCAGGTGAAGGAATCAGTGGCAAGCCACTGATTGGATTTCTATGTATTTGGAACTTGTGATTTGTGCAAATGATAGGTCGTTCATACCTGTAAGTTGTGTATATACCATGAGTGGCACTGTTGCTAACAAATAATTATTAACACCAAAATTGTTGTTGCAGCTGCCGCAAGTGCAGTCAGATGAGATTCTGTCCAAGTTGGAGATTGTGAAAGTTGCGATAGAAACTGGTACTGAAGACGTGGAGCCGTCGAATGAGAGACTCAACGCCAAGAGTGCAAATGTCTACATAACATATAAGGGCTTGACAGAGCTTCGAGTCTTTAAACGTGTTTTCGAGATTGGTGAGCATGTTGAACGCAAAGCCATAGTTAGAAGAGTCATCGATGAGCATACAGGAAACCTGACTCTCTTGGGTAAGCTTTGTGGTGGTCAATATGCCAAACCATTGAATCTCGTGGGTAAGAGTCCTGTCGAGAGTCCTCCGGGTGTCGAGAGTCCTCCAGGTCTCGAGAGTTGTAAAAAGCGACTTCGTTTAGGCTAGCTGGCGGACGTTTAGCCTGTCTGCGTAATGCATTTGAAAAATGTGGATTTTGTAATAAAAAACTAAGCTATATTTTGGGCGTTTGGACTCTTTAGGTGGATAGGTAAAACAACAATAAAATTAAAATGGAATGACTTTAGCTTTTGATCCAATCTCCACATCACCCTTCTTCTCCAAAACTCTAGCTCGACAATCATAGTAACACACTACATAAGGAGTCCTACATAAGCTACCCATTTGATCAAATTCCCAACACAATTCAAACCCATATAGAGACTCGTGTACAAGACTCAATTTCCATTCATACTCTCACTGCATTTAGAGTATAAACATGGCATCCTCATCGCAAGAGCCAAGACGAGAAACATCAACATCAAACAGATGTCACGATTCTTGTGTCCTCTTCCATTCTAAGCTGAGATAGACAGAGCATCGGTTCCATAGATGCCTTCACCATCTTCATCCTCCACCAAGACTGAAACTACCATACCAATGTCTCCACCCCGCGCTCCACCTGCTGAACTTCGCGGTCAGTACTATGAAGACAGTACCGCGACTCAGAACCACCACCGCTGCTTGGTTGCTGAAGCTTTGGTGATTGCGTGAGAGAGAAGCAATGAATAAGTAGCTGGTTGAATCTGAGAAGAACCCGAAGAAAAAAGAGGTTGACAAGAGACGGACATAGAGAGATGTGATCAGACAGCCTCCTACTCGGTTCTGGCATATCTTTACGGATATCCGTACCAAAGAAAGCAGCCACAATGGTTCTTCCTCGGACGTGTAAACAAGGGAAGATGCTGCAACGATCGTGGTGATAACGTTAAGATATTATCAAAGATTTTAAAATAATTTTGAAATTAAATTAATTTGAATTTTATTAAATATCAGATATAATTTATTGGTATTATTTGTTAACAAACTAATATAATTTAATTTAATTTAATTTAATTTAATGTATTTTTAGTGGTTTAATGATATGACTAAATTACTCTTAATGAATTAATAAAATTATCTAATAAAAATAATGGCATATATTGTAAATACCATGGTAGCTTTTGAACATTTATTAAAAATGATTCTCTTTTAATAGTTTAGATTTTATAGTATGTATATATCTAACCAAAAAATAATGATTACATATTTATCATTGACTATAAATTTTCACATTTAATAAATATCATCTAAGTTTTTTAACATATTAAAGTAGTGCTTTTTATAAATTCTATAGAGAATAAATTGATTATAATATAATATATATTTAATTTATAATATAATATATATATAATTATATTAGTTATTCGTGCTATATATATTTGTGGTAATTATGTTAAGATATTATGAAAGATTTTGAAATAATTTTAAAATTAAATTAATTTGAATTTTATTAAATATCAGATATAATTTATTGGTATTATCTGTTAACAAACTAATATAATTTAATTTAATTTAATTTAATACTTTTTTAGTGGTTTAATGATATGACTAAATTGCATTTAATGAATTAATGAAATTATCTAATAAAAGTAATGGCATATATTGTAAATACCATGGTAGCTTTTGAACATTTATTAAAAATGATTCTCTTTTAATAGTTTAAATTTTATAGTATGTATATATCTAACCAAAAAATAATGATTACATATTCATCATTGACTATAAATTTTCACATTTAATAAATATCATCTAAGTTTTTTAACATATTAAAGTAGTGCTTTTTATAAATTCTATAGAGAATAAATTGATTATAATATAATATATATTTAATTTATAATATAATATATATATAATTATATTAGTTATTCGTGTTATATATATTTGTGGTAATTATGTTAAGATATTATGAAAGATTTTGAAATAATTTGAAATTAAATTAATTTGAATTTTATTAAATATCAGATATAATTTATTGGTATTATCTGTTAACAAACTAATATAATTTAATTTAATTTAATGCATTTTTAGTGGTTTAATGATATGACTAAATTGCTAGCTTTTGAACATTTATTAAAAATGATTCTCTTTTAATAGTTTAGAAATTTGTAAAATCTATAATATCTAGAAATTTGTGTTTGTCAAGTCCGCAAAATCCATGATTTTCGGCAAAAAAGTCATTAACAAATCATGAAAAAATTATTGACATAATATTTTTTTATAGTATGTATATATCTAACCAAAAAATAATGATTACATATTCATCATTGACTATAAATTTTCACATTTAATAAATATCATCTAAGTTTTTTAACATATTAAAGTAGTGCTTTTTATAAATTCTATAGAGAATAAATTGATTATAATATAATATATATTTAATTTATAATATAATATATATAATTATATTAGTTATTCGTGCTATATATATTTGTGGTAATTATGTTAAGATATTATGAAAGATTTTGAAATAATTTTAAAATTAAATTAATTTGAATTTTATTAAATATCAGATATAATTTATTGGTATTATCTGTTAACAAACTAATATAATTTAATTTAAGTTAATTTAATTTAATGCATTTTTAGTGGTTTAATAATATGACTAAATTACCTTTAATGAATTAATAAAATTATCTAGTAAAAGTAATGGCATATATTATAAATACCATGATAGCTTTTGAACATTTATTAAAAATGATTCTTTTTTAATAGTTTAGATATACATATATAGAACAATAATTCAAAATGTTTTCATAACTTATGTGTGTGTATACGGGTTCGTTACATAAAATAAATAACATATGAGATTTGGGTTGAGAAGGTGGTCCAAGTGGAACCCATATGGATATAAAATAAATTAGATCATATATATATCACCTGCATGGAAAATACAAAAAGCATCCACCACCACGAGGAGGCCGAGAATATGACGACCGAGGAGAGTACGACGACGACGACCGAGGAGAAAATTACGGCCGAGATGCTTCACAGTGGTCGGAGGGATTACTGGCGTCAAGTGGGAGAGTCCGATGTAATTCTTTCATCTTCTTATTTTGTTTTTTTTATCTTCTTTTTGTAATTGGATATTCAATTCATGTAGAGAAATTATCTACGATTGTGATTTGTTGGATTGTTCCTTTGTTACACGGAATTAACTTTAACCATGATCCTAGTTTCTTAATTATTCCTAGAGGAAATTGATCGCGTCTAGGGTTGTTTATAGGCTGATTAATATGATAATGTATCGGATTGTTTATGGACTGATTATTTTGCTGGGTGGGAAATCGATTGCATAGTTATTCTTGAACTGATTATTTTGCTTGCTGATGGATTTTAGGGTTTCGATCTCGCTGAAATTTCACTACCATCATATATGACTGGACATGTCACTGGAATGATGTCCTACGGCTGTCAAAGTGATTATCCTTATCGCACATGGGTCGACCGTTATGCTAAGTTGGGGCTTCATCGTTACAATATGTTGGAGGTAATTAAAACTAAATCTCCTCTCCATATGGTTTCTTTCACCAACAATATGCTCCAAATTCATTCAATTTTCTTTCTTCATCTGTCAGGGGACGAGATTTGAGCTCGATTCCTAATAAAATTCAACATGTCACCGAGCCATATGGCCTCTTACTACATGACTTTGCTTGCACACGATCAAGATCCAGCTGGTAGCACACTGCAGAAAACTTTTCAGGTTCGGGTTGATGAAAAAGATTTTGGCGCTTTGAATTTGGGGTGCTCCATTGCTAGAATTAAAGATGAAGGTAAATGTTTTTTTATTTTTTTTAAGGAAATAAAAGTCGAGCCAGGATCAAATCTCACTTGCTGATTAATAACGTTGCACAGTGACCACAAAGAAGCCCTTCATACCGCACTTTCATGGTGGCGCGGTGGCAGATGAATTGCCTGATTGGCCCTCAGATGATGATTTCAGTGATGGAAAACGATTTTACGTGGTAATTAAGATTATTATCTTATGAAGTTTTCTTTTTTCTCATAATTTAATTAAGCAATTAGTGATATGTTTTTCTTGCTTTTGCAGCTGAAGGAATCAGAGTGGCAAGCCACTGACTGGATTTCTATGTATTTGGAACTTGTAGTTTGTACACATGCTTTATCGATGGTAAAAGTAAGTGTTTGTGTGTATAGATTTATGACATACCATGAGTGGCACTGTTGGTAACAATAATAATTAACTACAAAATTGTTGTTGCAGCTTCCCCGGGCGCAGGCAGATGAGATTATGTCCAAGTTGGAGATTTTGAAAGTGGCAATAGAAACTAGTATTGAAGATGTGGAGCCGTCCAATGAGTCTCTCAACGCCAAAAGTGCAAATGTCTACATAATATATAAGGGCTTATCAGAGCTTCGAGTTTTTGAACTTGCTTTTGAGATTGGTGAGCATATTGAACGCAAAGCTATAGTTAGAAGAGTCATCCATGAGGATACAGGAAACCTGACTCTCGTGGGTAAGCTTTGTGGTGGTAAATATTTCAAACAGACATATAGCAAGAATTGATAAAAGCGACCTCGTTTAGACTAGGCTGCTACAAGATCCATTTGATCAGGTAATAATAATGAACTAGGCTATTTTGTAATTAATATTAAGGAAGCAATTTTGGATATTTGTATGCACGTAGCCACTCTTTACCACGATGGATTCATATGTCTTTTGATCATCCATGATAGCACTCCCACCTAAAGCCCTGAGCAACTAATGTTTGTCATGGACTCTGGCATCGAGTGCAAAATCGGACTTGATCACTTACTTTTGGTGCACTCTTTCTCATGGATCGACATTGGCTCTGTATAATTTGTATTATTGCCTTAAAATACATTTTAGAGACTTAATTAGGAAATCAAAAGAGTGTCAGAATAGAGAATAAACATTGTTTCTCCAACACTTGTGCAGATGTAAATTTTTGAGTAAATATTACAATTACAGAAACACATAAAAAAAAAATGTGTTTGTTATATATCTAAATCAAATAGTAGGGGTGGGAAAAAAACCGAACCGAAGTGAACCAACCCGAACCAACCGAATCCGAACCGAGTCAAACCAAACCAAAGTCTATATCAAAATATTTCGGTTCAGATTTCTGTTAACCCGAATGGTTCGGTTCGGTTCGGTTTAAAACCAAACAGAACTGAAACCCAATATGTTTTCTTAATTATTAATTTATTAATGATTAATGGTACTAATTATCTTTAACAATTACACCATTATTTAAATATTGTCTTTGATTCTCAAATCTTAAAAGAAAAAAACCTAAAACTCATGTTATATTTAAGTATCTAGATTTCATTTATAAAGAAAATCAAAGTTTTTTTTATCTATTTTATACTTGATTTTTCACTGTTTCAAAGTAATAAATTTTTAATTTTAATATTGATGTTACATTATGTTTATATAAAGTTTTATTTTCCAATCTGTTAACCGAATTAGACGAATCCAAATTAACTATAACCGAACCAAACCGAACTGTATTTAAACCGAACCGAACCGAATTCAAACCAACTTAAATTTGGTTGAATTTGGTTAGAGTTTTAGTAAAACTAAACTAACCAAACCGAACCAAACCCAAAAATAAACCGGAATGCCCACCCCTATCAAATAGGAAAACAAACAGAAACAAATTTTGTTAAACAAAACAAAAATCAAAGATTATACACATATAATAATTTTGTATGTACATAAAACCCTGTAGATAATTATTATATAATTTTTTTTATAAATAGAAAATTTAAAATGTTTTTTTTTGTCTTCAAATTTAAAATGTTTTGATACATGATAGAATTTTATTAGAAATTAAATACACATAAAATAGGAGTATTAAAATAAATTAGTATATAATTGGTTTTTTAACAAAAAGATGAATTTATATGATTGTTAAACTTCTATTTTGGTAATAGAGTGTTCTCTTTTTTAAAAAAAAAAAAAAACTCAAACGTTAATCCGTCTCCACCGGATTTGTTCTCTAGGGTTTCTTTCTTATCTCTTGCGCAGTGGTTGATACAACTTACAAGGCCCTAATTTTGCTTAAACTTGTGCGAGTGAGTATGACGACCGAGAAAACGATTTCTTCGGAGGAGTATAACAGGGCGCGTAAGGCATACTGGCGTGTTGTGAAGGAAACCGAAGTAATTAATTCATCTTCTTGTTGTTTAGACGATTTCATTAAAACTATGTTGTTCGATTGTTCCTTTGTCAAACACAAAACTAAACCTAACCTTGATCCTAGTTCTTCATTTCTTCTAGACAACAAATTGAAATCTAGGGGTGTTTAGGTTTCGATAATTATGGGAAACCGATGGCTTTAGGTTTGTTTATGTGCTGATTTTATTACTTGCTGATGTTGATTTAGGGTTTCGATCTGGAGGACACTTCAATACCAAATTATATGGCTGGAATGATCAAGGGACTGATGGTCTTCGACTGTCAAGTTCTTTCGCACTGGCCTTTTCCTTCCTTGGTCAAGCTATATGCTAAGGTGGGGCTTCATCGTTATAACATATCGGAGGTAAATTTAAACTCTTCTCCTTTCTCGTCCGTGCTTTATGAACATGATCCTCTGTTCAAGTTATGTAATACATCGCATTCATTCAGTTTCCAATTTTCTTTTTTCATGTGGCAGGGGACAAGCTTCGTGTATGATGACTTAATTAAGTTCAACGCGACACCGAACTGTGTTGCGTCGTATTACATTACTTTGCTTGCAAGTGATCCATCTGTTAGCCCAGAGCAGTAACACTTCCAGGTTCGAATTGATGAACAAGAATATAGCAGCTTGGATTTGGCTTGCTCAATTGCCAGGCCCAAAGTGCCTAAAGATGAAGGTAACTTGTGTGGTGCATTATTGTTCAATCTTTATTTATTATTTATTTCGAGTATAAAACCTCACATCATTTGCTGATCACAGTGACCACCAAGAAGTCGTACATACCTCACTTCCATGGTGGCGCAGTGGCAGATGGAATCTTCAAAGGTGAATTGCCTGATTGGCCATTAAATGATGATTTCAGTGATGAAAAACGATTTTACGTGGTAATTAAGCTTAACTATTACGGAGACACTAACATTAATTTTTGTTTTGGTCATGATCAATTAAGCAAGCAATGATATCTTCTTCTTGATTTTGCAGGTGAAGACATCAGAGTTGCAAGAGGTTGATTGGGTATTAATGTATTTGGAACTTGTCATTTGTGCGCATGATAGGTTTACTTCAATTGTAAGTTTCTTTATTTTGTTATATTATATTTCTGCATATCAATGACTACATGCCATGAGTGGTTATTGACATTAACACCAAAACTATTGATGCTGTAGAGCGATCTGTTGGAGTTGGAGATTGTGAAAGTGGTGATAGAAAGTAACAAAGACGGGTTGGGGCCGGATTGGAAACTCGGGCGCAAAAATGCGAATGTGTACATAAACTATAAAGATAAGAGTAGGGCTGATGTGAATGCTGAGCGCAAAGCTATGGTAAGAAGAGTTATCGATGAAGGTACACAGTATTTGAGCCTCGCTGGTAAGCTTTGTGGTGGTCCGAAAGAAGAGCAGCGTTATAGGGTTCTCATTCGTGAGCGTTACGAGAAGCATTATGGAAAAGCCGAGACTTCTTCTGAAAAGCGGCCTCGCTTAGGCTAGGCGGTGCTGGTTATTGCCGTATAGATAGCCAATTTTTGCAACACCGGTTAATAAAAGTGGAGATCGAGCTATAAGAATATTTGTCTATTCGATCTTTACTCTTCTCGCTAACATAGATGCCATACAAGGAACTTCCTGATATCCTTGTTCTTCACGTTACGTATTGGCTCTGTTGTAAAACACCGCTCGTGAAACCTTCTTCTCTCCCTTACATCCAATCACTACTCTTCATTCAATTCTCCCACACCTAAGCTGTGTCATCAATCATCAATCTGCATCATCATCTCGACCATCATTAGGTAGATTTGCTTCTTGTTACTCTTTAGTTTGCCTTGCTCTTTACTAGTCACCCTTCTGCAACTAAGATTCTAATGAGCAAAACGAAGTTGTTTCTTTACCCTGCCCATTCCTCTAGTCTCTACCTAGTTCCTGGCTCATCAATAGTTATACTCATCACTTAGTAGGGGTTATTGGTTTTTGTATTTTGGTGGATTTATAAATTTTCTTTGGATTTGATAAATTTATTGATTTCAAAATCAACAAAATGGAAAAAAATCAAATCCACTCAAATACCAAGGTTAGACCTTGTATTTGGGTCTTTGTATTTTAGTCATAAAAATCCTTCCAAATCCATTCATATTCAATTAAAACTCAAATTCTTATAATATTTAGATTCTAAAATGATAGAACCAATAACACTGTATTTCATTATAGATTTTAAAATCATAGAACCAATAACACTGTATTTCAATATAAATTTTAAAATACAAGAACCAATAACACTGAATTTGATTTGGATTCTCAAATCCATTAAAATACAAAAACCAATAACACCTCCTTAGTTCTCTGTTCATTTTTTTTGTGTAGTGGTTGTAGTTTTCAACTTCTTTGTCGCACATCTATTGGTAGGTTTAAATCTACATGTAACCCAAAAAGGATACTCTACTTCTTCTTATCTTACTTGTGTATGCTTTTGAGATCGTGATTTGGTTTTCCACTGACGCTTTGCTTTGCTTTTATCACCGTAACTTTTGATTCTTTTTTCTTCTGCAACATCCATTCATGTGATCCTTTTTTACTTTGGGTTTAAGTCAATATGCTCAAAGTTTCACTTGCATCGAGTTTTACATGAAAATGAAGTTTAGCCGGGTCTAAAATCATATGTCTTAGTACACCAGACTTGTGGACCAAGTCAACGTCAATGAAGAGCAACCAACCAAGCCAATTTTGGAGCTGCTTTGTGATAATGGAAGAACTAATGATATATCCTAAAGCACGCCACATCAAGCATTGTTTTTCTTCACGGTCCAGTTTCACACCCTGCAAAGGCCCACAGAGAATATGAGAAGGTAGATCAAAGATTATGATAGAAGAAGTGATAATGCAAGCTGTTACAGGCTCGAGTCTCAGCCAAATTCTGATCATCATCTCTCACTAACCTAACTAAGACTGAACGTAGCAGAGTTACAGCTATTGCGTCAGCTCCGTAGAGGGTTACACAAATGCATAGACATGCTAGATTCTATATGGTTGTTGCTGTTGGCCTTGGGGTCTAGAGCTGAGATATATCCTTAATCAAAGTCTATATCGATTCTATACCTTAACAAAAAAAAAAACAATTCTACTGTTTATTCAGATTTAGAGAGACAGTGCGGAAGCTGAGAAACGTTGCCATATATCAAGAGCATATTGAGGAAACTGTAAACTTACCCATTGGCATATGGTGAACGTCGGCCATAGGGTGAGTCTCTGCTGCGAGGAGAATCTCGTCGTGAACCACGATACGGTGGGGATCTGCTGTAGCTCCGGCCACGACGAGGTGGAGTTACACTGCGACGCCTTGGAGGAGATCTTCTTCCACGAGGGCTGATACTCCTGAACAAGATGGATCCCCAAAGAAAAAAAATGCATCTCATAAGCGCTTTATATCATCATCAACCATTTCCTTTTTTTATATAGTAATGCAACTCGCAGTGCTTAAAAGAACAAGAGATTATGAACAAAAGATACAAACAATCCCAAGACTTTATTATAAAACCCACATTGTCACCATTAAAGATGGCTCCGCAAGAACGATTGGACACATTTAAAGACCCAAAGATTTTGCTTTGTACACTAACAATTTCAATCAAACAAATGCAATCCTAATCAAAATTCCAAAAAAGTACAAGCCAGCTTTCGTTTAAACAACAATATTTTACAACCACCAAGAAACAGAGCCCTATAAGACACACCCCTAACCACATTTTGAGATACCATATAGTTTCTGTGCGAGTGTTATGTAAGAATGTTTTAGTGAAACTCACCTGCGTGCATACCCATATTCAGGACTCCTACGACGGCGAGGGCTAGGGCTTCTACGCCTCCCATAGCCTCCTCGACCACCTCGGCGACACTCACGAGCAAAATGTCCAGGCTCGCCGCACTCATAGCACTTGGAGTCCTCGATACCGCCGTGACGGCCACCGCCTCCACGGCCTCCTTTATCCTTGTGAGATAGCTCCACACGCCAACCATTCTTCCCTGAATGGCAAAAAGATGCAATCCAAACATGGAGATTAAGATACCAATTGATCAAAAACAGAGGAGATTAGGATAATTATCAGAAGAAAGCTGACCATCCAGTGCCCTGATCGCATCCAAAGCATCCCTCTCGTCGTCGAATTCGAGGAAAGCGTAGCCTGGAGGCCTACGAGCTACCCAAACACTGCGATTTTTTTCTCACGAGATGAGATTCAATTTCCCGAAGGAAAGGTTTGCCCAGAAACAAAAGTGACTAAGAGTCTAAAGCTCATCAGAGATGAAAATTACTTGCGAAGAACACCGAAGATCCTGAATTCATCTTCGAGCTCCCTTTCGGTGACTCGTGGATCCAAATTCCCGATATAAACCCTCGTCATAATTCAAAAATCAGCCAAAAATCTGAACGAAGGAGAAAACTCAGAAGAAGAAAAAAAAACAAATTATCAATATCAGGAACTTGCTGCGACTCTTGAAGCTGAAGGCGAAATCTCGGTCGAGATATTGTAAGCAAGTAGAAAGCACGGTGGAGCCTGAGATTCGAGGTCTTACCAGGAAGCGGGATGTTTTAGGGTTCAGACTTCGGAGAGGAAAGAGTGCACGACAATGTTGAGGAGTGAGGAGGACTCGGAAGTAATTATTAGTTCGATGAAAAAGTTAATTAAAATGTTTTCTTTTTCGTTAAACCAGAATTTACTTTTTTCAACCATATGTTATACCAAAAGAATTCAGTTAAGACAAAAATATTTACAATTAGTGTGAAATACGCAAAGGGCAACACCTAAATACCTATAACCCAACTATTGGGAAAGTTTGATGGTTCCCTTACAAAAATAGTTATTTATTTGTATAATGATTTACAAAATCTATTTTAAGTTTGATTTTTTTTTTGTAGAGTTTCTTGATTTTTTAATAAGTGTATTTTAATTAATGAAAAACTTATTATATGTACCAAAGTTCCTCTTTAGGTTTGATTATTTGTATTTTTTAACTTGAAAATATTTTTAAAACTGTTAGAATCTAATATGAAATTAAATCTTTGTTAAAATCCGAAGATAATCAAACTACTAAATAATGTTGGATTTTAAACTGATTTCGGCCATGATGTTTAAGATCAAAGATTTGGGTATTTTGGACTTTGAAATGACAATGATGAAGGGTGGTAAATCCATTTGACTTTCATGGAGTTAATGGCAAAACTTAATCTAGATGTATGCTTGCTATCATATATGCTTTATACAATCCAACACTGACCAAGAAGTTAATTTATTTAATTTAATACTTGCTCATATAGCCATTATGTACTGTTTACCAAATTAAGTCTGTGTAAGTTTAACGTCGTTTCTAAATCCAGTTTATCTTTAGGCTGCTTGTATATGTTCCTAAATATTATTCTTTGACATTCATTAACGTTGCATATGTTGAATGAGTGAGTATCTTATCTTGATTCACGGACTCGGTTACACGATACTACATCTTTCTTAGTGAAATCATTGTGTCCTTAGGAATATAGAATGCAAGATTGTCAATTGATTTTAGTCTAGATGTAGGCATGTAGTCTATAGATTAATGCCCAAAGCCCATACAAATAGGAGTTGGTCTAGATTAATAATATGATACATTTTCTTGGTTTATATCCATTTTTCGAACTTTAATCCTTTTATATACTATTGAGATTGTTTTCCCACAACTAAAAGTTTTGTTTATATCACACGTAGAGATATCTAGCGGTGTTTGAGAGCGTCATGAATTTGGTTTAGGCAAGGCTCTTCATTCGAAGACTCAACACGAACTTGCTTCTTACCAAACCCGTTTGTCTATCTGATGTAGGAGCTACGTCTCTCTCTTCTTTCTTCTTTTTAATTAGTTTTTTGGTTCTCTCCTCTTTTAGCTAGACATTGTGCCATGGGTGTGTAGGAATATCTCCTAGTTATTGTATACATGATTTTAATAGCATGATATCCTGTCAAGATAAAAATATCCTAATTTATAATCTACAAATAAGGTTTAAGAGTTTTGTTGTTATACACATTTTGATGTGATCTTTGATTAGGATTCATAAATTTTTTTGATTACATATGTAAAATATAAAGTTGGGCAAATGTTTTGGTTAGATGTTTACTATTTAGAGCATGGCCAACGGTAGAGACTTATTTATGAATTCATTAAAAATATTATATTATTATAATTTAATAAAATAATTAATTTTAATAATAAAAAGAAATAAATCACTAATAAGAAGGCATATGTCTTCAAAAGTTTAGAAATCGACTCTGAACTGGAAGCTTTTGACACTAGTTCTTATTTTATTTTTATCTCTTTTTTTCTTTTTTATTATTTTTATTATTTTTAAAGTTTAAATAAGTGGTCTTACCACGTTAAGATCTTCATCACGTCACATTTACATTACTTATGTAAGATTACTACTATTTATGTAAAAAGACATAAAAATGCATTTGCGTCGATATTTGAGCCGAGCCTCAAAATAGTGTTGGACCGATATTGCCGCCTTGGATATTATTTGTTTTGAAAATTTGATGGACATTTCGAGCAGGCCCTCGAGTAATGTTTGACCGGTCTTGCCGCTTCGGATATCAGTTTTAAAATTTTGATATATGTTTCTATTTTCTATCGAATATCATGAAAAGTCGTCAATTTTAATTTTTTTGTTAGTACCAGATATCGCTTAGCAGTAGTACTTAGCACTTAAATTGAACCTTGACTTTTCTTACAATCTGAAAAGAAGCAAAAGCTCGATCACAATTTGGAACAACAGTATAAATTAGGTCTAAGTTCGTTTAATTTTTTCTTATATATACCTATTCTTTTTATCCATATTTAAATGTTGCTTTCTGTTCGGTAGCTTCATAGCACTACGAGCATGCAAAATGTAATTGGTAAGGTTACAGAGAATAGAGATGCTGCCTGAAACGTGCAGGTCTCCTTATTCTCACATACTGTATGTAAACTCTCTCTCATAACGTGTCGATATCTCATTGGTTGAATTTTACCGACGTAAATGGAATAGCAGTTATGATAAAAAGACTTATCCATTCGGGAAACATTCTGAACCAAGATAAGTCATTCTGGGTCCCACTTCTAGCAAAGTCTCTAAGACTGTGCCGGATGACGTGTCGAATTATCATTCGCTTATTCACAGCATTCCATGTAGACCCCACTCAACCCCCACGTGCCTGCCTCCCTTTACAAAAAGTTCAGAGAAATATCGAACGCAAAAATGTCTGAAATTACAGCTCTGATTTACACGTGTCATTATACCCACGCGCCTGACCCCTATCGAGTGGAAGACGAGAAAAGGTAGCTGTAAATATAAAATCATTTATTTTATCAAATAAAAAGACAAAATAATGAAAAAAAAAAGCAGCAAAAGAAGAAGAAGTGTTTATCTGATTTGGATCCAATCAAACCTCGTTGGCTTCATAAACAACGTGAAATTAAAACTCGGCTTAGATGTCAACGTTATTACATTCAAACCACTAAACCAAAAGAGGGTATTCTCGTAAATTGATACATGGTTAGTACATATACTAATACTTAATTACATCCTAATGCTGCAATGGCCCTTGGGAGTTTTGAGAGGCCACCCCGACCCGCATGGTGCCTTTTTAATATCAATAAAAATTAAAATAATTGTCATTACGAAAATGTGTGCTAACATGTTTTAATTATTTTTGTTTGGTCAGTTTTAAAAATTTAATAGTGACTTGTTCTTTAGCAATTTTCATTTTACTTTATCAAATAGTATGTACATGCATGTTGCATTCCCGATGATGTTTTTTTCCATTTTATTATGTCTTTTCTTATAAGACTTTTAGAAACACGAAGAAATTTATAATGATATAATCCTTCTTATCAAAGCAAGAAGATTGATTCAAAACATCTCATCTCTATAGATAGAGTTTTAGAGATCGTGTGTGGAAGTTTGGTTTTTGACCAATGACTTATAATTATTTATATATATATGTGCCGCCGACGGATTACGGTTATTAATTCATATAACGTTATTTGCACTTTGTAGAGCTTAGGCTACTCTATGACTAAGGTACCATTACACGACTTGTCAACATTTTTTTAACACAATGAAGAAAATGCATATGCTTTAACAAATCATATGTTCAATATAGCTAATTAAAATGTACATTGAGTTATATCAAAGATATTTAAGTTATAAACTTTACAAAAATACATAAACCATAAACAAATTGTATTTTAAAGATCATCCTTCAATAATCCAAATACAAATATACCACTTCTGAATATAATACAAAGAGAAATAACGAGCTTACATGTTAAAGAATAAATAAAAGATAATGTATACACTTATCTGATTTCAATTACGATGTGGTATATCATAAATGCTTTAAATAGTAAGAATATCCAGTTATTCCACATAGTCCATGGACTAGTCTGGATTTGATTTGGAATTATTGAGAAAAACTTAGTTAATTTGAAACTAGTAAAACCAGAGATTTTCTTAACGACTATAGGATGTATATAGACATATTTTTTTTACCAAAAAATATATATATATATATAGACATATTTGATATGATATCCATAATGTACGTTTGTAGAAATATGATGTAGTTTGCGTTATACCTTATAAGTATATATAAATTCCGATCATGTAACATATGATAGTGAGGTGACCATTTTTACATAGAAAACTCTTCATTTTTCCCTGGTTGATAACTTTGTATATAATTTGTCCCTTCTTTCCTGGCCGATAACTTTGTCTATTAGATGTTTGATTAGGAAAAAATTCTATTAACTTTGAATAAACATTTTTTTCAAATAGCATTTGCATTTATATATTGTGAAATATTTTGTTTAAAAATTATCTGGTATTGGCATTTTGCTTGCTTGGAGTCATGTTTACCGAAAACTAGGATTTGAATTTGACGTGGTTCCCGTTTGGATAAACTCGTAAACGATAGCTCAATTAAAAAAAGAACCAAAATATCAATTTTTAAAAAAGTTACAAAAGTGGACCCGTACCAAATATACGACCTAGACAGTAGGTTTGATGAGATCTCATAATCGCTTAATTTAATAAAAACGGCATTAACATTCGGATTGGGTTTTGAGGATATTTTTTATTTGTTTCAGCCGAAAAAGAAAAATGGTCCACCACATTATCTAGTCATCTCTACCAACTCTATTGTACGAAGAAAGATGATAAGAGGATTAAGGACAATAGAGTAATTTTCATTCAACGCCGTATTATAATATACCCGAAATTAGAAATATAAAAAAATAGAGAAATAGATCGTTAGAAAACGTGTATATGTGCATTTGGTATGTGTAATCGGGTTTTATTCATTTTTCTTTCTCTCGCATTAATTTTTCTTCAAATGCTCTCTCTCTTCTCTCTATCCGACTATACAGCGAATGCCCCAAAGAGTTCTTCAAAGTCCTTATCGCAAACTTTTTTTCCTGTTTTTGTTTATTCATCGGTTCCACGAAGAAGACAATCAACGGTTTTTGTTTGAGCTTTTCTTCGCCGGCGACTAGCGATTTTCCGGAGAAGGTTAGTAAATAGTAGGAGCAGTGTGAACCACTTTTTTTCCTTTTCAATTTTTTTCTGACTTTTGTTTGGGTTTTGAGGTATATAGCTTTTGATTTCGTTTAGTTTTAGCTGTTTCATTCACCTGAACGAAGTTAACCGGCGTGGAAACGGGTTATTTTGATTTCGTTTAGGCAAGAATCACAATTTTGTTCGTGATTTGGCCTCTGACGATTAGTTTATTTGGAGTGAGACTTTTTGTTTTTGTTTTGGGATCGATTCGAGATTCAGTGATTTTGTTTCTGAATCATTTGGCATTATTTGTTGTTCGATGTATCATTGTTTTGGAAGAAGATGAATTCGTCAAATCGAAATGACTAATAGTTCTTTATTTGAAGTATCAACTTTATACCTGTTTTTGCGGTTACATAAACTCTCATGCTGCAAGTTCATTGTTTTATCATTTTTTGGTTACGTTAGAGTAAATTTCAAGGGAATGGGCTTTGCTTTTTGTTCTCAGGTATTTTGACCAGAACTCGCTTGAAAAAGTGCTTAGACGCGTGTTGGCTTCGTCAGTCACAATTCTCTTGCTGCTTGCTTTTCCATGGTGTCGAGATCTTGTGCAAATTTTCTCGACTTAGCATCTTGGGACTTGTTGGACTTTCCTCAAACTCAGAGAGCTCTTCCTCGTGTCATGACTGTTCCTGGCATCGTCTCTGAGCTAGAAGGAGGCTGCGGTGATGGGTCCTCCGATGTTAGTTCCTCCCACAGCTCCCACGAGCGGAAGATTATAGTGGCTAACATGTTACCTCTACAAGCCAAGAGAGACACAGAAACTGGACAGTGGTGCTTTAGCTGGGACGAAGATTCTCTCCTCCTGCAGCTGCGAGATGGGTTTTCTTCCGATACGGAGTTCGTCTATATAGGATCACTTAATGCTGATATTGGCACGAGTGAACAAGAAGCGGTTTCTCAAAAGCTTCTCTCGGATTTCAACTGCGTCCCTACGTTTTTGCCTCGGGAGATGCAAGAAAAGTTCTATCGCGGTTTTTGTAAACACCACCTGTGGCCGCTCTTCCACTATATGCTTCCCATGTTCCCTGACCACGGCGATCGTTTTGACCGGCGTCTGTGGCAAGCCTATGTTTCTGCAAACAAGATATTCTCGGACAGGGTGATGGAAGTCATCAACCCTGAGGAAGATTATGTTTGGATTCAGGATTACCATCTGATGGTTCTTCCCACGTTCTTGAGGAAGCGGTTCAACAGAGTCAAGCTCGGGTTTTTCCTTCACAGTCCCTTTCCTTCATCAGAAATCTACCGCACTTTGCCAGTCCGGGACGATATTCTGAGAGGACTGTTGAACTGTGATCTCATTGGTTTCCACACGTTTGATTACGCTCGCCATTTCTTGTCATGCTGCAGTAGGATGCTTGGCCTTGACTATGAATCTAAGCGAGGGCACATCGGGCTTGACTACTTTGGTCGAACGGTGTTCATCAAGATTCTTCCTGTTGGCATCCATATGGGTAGGCTGGAATCTGTTTTGAATCTCGCCTCCACTGCAGCGAAAATGAAAGAGATTCAAGAACAGTTCAAGGGGAAAAAGTTGATTCTCGGTATAGACGACATGGACATCTTCAAAGGGATAAGCCTCAAACTTATAGCCATGGAGAATCTCTTTGAGACGTATTGGCATATGCGAGGTAAAGTTGTCCTGATTCAGATTGTGAACCCAGCACGGGCCTCGGGTAAGGATGTGGAAGAAGCAAAGAGGGAGACGTATGTAACTGCAAAAAGGATCAATGAGCGGTATGGTTCCCCTGGATATCAGCCAGTTATCTTGATCGATCGTCTTGTTCCCCGTTATGAGAAGACTGCCTACTACGCTATGGCAGACTGTTGCCTGGTGAATGCGGTAAGAGATGGCATGAACTTAGTTCCATACAAATATATCATTTGCAGGCAAGGGACTCCAGGCATGGATAAGGCCATGGGCATTAGCCATGATTCACCACGCACAAGCATGCTTGTGGTCTCTGAGTTTATCGGCTGCTCGCCTTCTCTGAGTGGCGCCATCAGGGTGAACCCATGGGATGTAGATGCTGTCGCAGAAGCTGTTAACTTAGCCCTCAAAATGAGTGAGACTGAGAAGCGGATGAGGCATGAGAAACACTATCACTACGTTAGTACTCACGATGTGGGGTATTGGGCAAAGAGCTTTATGCATGATCTGGAGAGGGCCTGCCAGGAACATTATAATAAACGCTGTTGGGGTATTGGTTTTGGTTTAAGTTTCAGAGTTCTCTCCCTGTCTCCGAGCTTCAGGAAGCTATCTATCGATCACATTGTCTCGACGTACAGAAATACAGAGAGAAGGGCTATATTTTTGGACTATGACGGCACTCTCGTTCCTGAGACCTCCATCATCAAAACCCCTAATGCCGAAGTTCTCTCTGTTCTGAAATCTCTGTGTGGGGATCCTAAAAACACCGTCTTTATCGTCAGTGGAAGAGGCTGGGAGTCTCTGAGCGACTGGCTATCTCCGTGTGAGAATATTGGAATAGCAGCTGAACACGGATACTTCATAAGGTATAAAATGCTCAAGCTTTTTCAACACTAATGGTTTCTCTCAGTTAAGGTTTCTATCAAAGTTAAGACCCATTTTATATTTGGATTCAGGTGGAGCAGCAAGAAAGAGTGGGAGACTTGTTACTCGTCAGCTGACGCGGAGTGGAAGACAATGGTAGAACCAGTAATGAGATCATACATGGAGGCAACCGATGGTTCCACTATAGAGTTCAAAGAGAGTGCTTTGGTTTGGCATCATCAAGACGCGGATCCAGACTTCGGATCCTGCCAAGCAAAGGAGCTTCTGGATCATCTAGAGAGTGTACTCGCAAACGAGCCCGTCGTCGTCAAGAGAGGCCAACACATCGTAGAGGTCAAACCACAGGTACGATGAGAGATCCATTTTACACCTTTTCGTTACCTGCTTGCGAGAACTCGTTAACATATCTCGTGAACCTTCTTATGTGATTCAATTTATCGACGCAGGGAGTAAGCAAAGGACTAGCCGTGGAAAAGGTCATACACCGGATGGTAGAGGAAGGGAACCCACCGGACATGGTGATGTGTATAGGAGATGACAGATCAGACGAGGACATGTTCGAGAGCATATTGAGCACAGTGACAAACTCAGACCTCCCGTTGCCACCAGAGATCTTTGCCTGCACGGTGGGAAGAAAGCCGAGCAAAGCCAAGTACTTCTTAGATGATGTCTCTGATGTATTGAAGCTCCTAGGGGGATTAGCTGCTGCAACGAGCAGTTCGAAGCCCGAGTATCAACAAGCATCCTCCTCCCATTCGCACGTGGCGTTCGAAAGCATCATCTGATAAGAAAAATGGTCATGAAGTGTGTCAGTGTGAAGTGACAAAAACCAACAGATAACTTTGGAAAAGGATTGGGGTTTGTGTATATGAAGGTTAACATGGGACTTGTCGTCTGTGTGATTTTTTTTGTTTTTTGGTTTTCAAAAAGCTTGGGGAAGGTGTTTTCTTCTACCTCTCGCTCCATGTTGTTTTTTTTTAGAATTGCAGTTTTCATCTCTTTGTATAGAATATCTTCTTACGTCTCTATGGTGGTTTGTATTTACACGGATTAACCAAATGGGCAAGATGGGTTTTTTTTTGTAGTTCTTTAAAACAAGTGGCTAATCTCGTGAGCACTAGAGTATTTGAGATCAGGGAGAAGATAAAATGCTGTTATCTTTGTGGTCTCCAAACGCCGTCGTTTCGAGCAGTTTTAGGTGAATATGTGTGTTCGTTTTTACGTTTTCCTGTTACATTTTAATGAATTAGACGTTCATCAGAGAACACTTATCTTTGAGAGACATAATTAAAATAATCACACAAAGTGACAAAACCATAATCAGAAAATTTGTTGCGCCGACGTTTGATGGCATGACAAATGTGTCTACGCCTCTCTCTCTTCAACCTTTTTCCTCCTTCCTTTTCTCACAAATTGTCCCTACTTGCTTCAACATTTAAAACCATCACTGTTTCCTGCAATTCATAGCCCTTTTTCCTTCTCCATCACAAGCTCAATATCCACCATTCTTCCTTGGCTTTTGTTGCTTCACGTTCTTCTCCATTTCTCTGCGTTTTTGTAGATATGAGCTAGGGTTTTTTTTCTTCCCCTTCATCTTCCTCAAACCAGTGTTGTTTGTCTCTCCTGAAACTTAGTGATGAGAAGTAATCTTCTGTTTCTGGGTATTATCGTTCTGCTCTTCTCTGGGTTTGTAGCTTCAGCTCCTTCATCAACTTCACCAGCGAGTTAGTTTCACTCTGTTTTTCGCAACGGGTCATTTTCATGATTCATCCATCAATCTGGGTTTCGATTTTGCTTACAACTTTCTTCGTAATTTTTTGCAGAGATTGTTAATGGTTTCATCTCGAATCATGGACCATCCCTTTTGAAATGGCTATGGTCCCTCAAAACCACCAAAAAAACAGGTTTGAGATATTTCAATCTCTTCCTTTTCGCAGATTAATTTTGCGACGGTTTTCTAATTCCTGGGTTTTTATCTTCCCCGAATCAAGTGGTTCCTACGAAATCGATGGTGAAATTCGAAAATGGGTATTCAGTGGAGACGGTGTTAGACGGAAGCAAACTCGGAATCGAACCCTATTCTCTCGAGGTCTTGCCCAATGGCGAGCTGCTTATTCTGGATTCTGAGAATAGCAACATTTACAAGATATCCTCCTCTCTTTCCCTATGTAAGTGCCACCATCGTTAACATCAAGCTTTTACATTTTTCTCCGATTTGCACTTGGGCTTGTGTCACATTGTACTACTATTGTTACGTCGATTCCAATATTTGATGATCCGAAAGGGATTTTTGTATACGGATGGAATCACGTATTTTCTCTGCCTTGCACGTGAATAAAGAAACTATTTTCTTACCTAATCGATGTACACTCTGCACACATGGATGGATACAACTTGCTGTATATGGCAATAGATAGATTTTAGCTAAAAAACAACAATTTTTTAAAGCCTTTTTCTTTGTTTGAGATCTAATGGGGAGGACTCAAAGAAAGTGCTATTTTAGAAAGCATTAACATTGAATATTACTAATTGCAGCATTCGATCAGTCACAGAGTAGTGGCTGAGTTCTTGAACAGCAAAATTGTTAACACTCTTGGAACAATGGCAGATAGCAGACCGAGGCTTGTTACTGGCTCCCCTGAAGGATATCCTGGCCATGTCGACGGTAGATTAAGAGACGCGAGGTTGAACAATCCAAAGGGACTTACTGTGGATGATAGAGGAAACATCTATGTTGCAGATACTGTGAATAATGCCATCAGGAAGATCAGTGAAGGAGGTAACTTTTTTCTGCTGTTTTTTTTATGGTTGCCTGTTGGAGAAATGTTGTTTGGTTTATCTGTTGTGGTAAGAATCAGATTTGAGAGAGATATAACAAATGCAATTTCAGGTGTTACAACCCTTGCTGGGGGGAAAACGGTCCATGGGGGAGGTCATGTGGATGGTCCGAGTGAAGATGCAAAGTTCTCAAATGATTTTGATGTTGTTTATGTTGGAAGCAGCTGTTCCTTGCTAGTCATTGACCGAGGAAACCGAGCCATTAGAGAGATTCAGCTCCATTTCGATGACTGTGCTAATCAGTATGGAAGTGGCTTCCCTCTTGGTAAGATTTCACATTCCAAATCCTAAGGGTTTGCTGTCTCTTTCATTCTTCCGTCATCTCTATTTCTGAATTCAATTCTTGTAAGTATTGCAGGGATTGCAGTTCTTATAGCGGCAGGTTTCTTTGGTTATATGCTGGCTCTATTGCAACGAAGGCTTGTTTCTATCGTTTCATATAACACTGTGAGTGTTCCAATCGTATCCTATCATCTCAAACATTACCCATCTTCTGCTTCTGCTACTATATGATAGCTATAACCAACATTTCTGGCTGTTGTGTTTTACATAGGATCAAGAAATATACAAAGCCGTTCCGGATCAACAGCCTATGAAACCAGTCAGACCACCTCTGATTCCAACCGGAGATGAGCAAGAGAAACAAGAAGAAAGTCTCCTCCTACCGTTCCGCATATTCATTTCGAATGCTAAGCTGTTTTTAGCGGAGCTCTTCAGTGGAATGTTTCCTGGCCTCAAAAAGAAGCAGACACTCAGCTTCAGCTTCAATCACCAAGACACAAATCTTTCTGCTTTTAGCACAGCTACATGGCCAATCCAAGAGAGCTTTGTGATACACGACAAAGATGAACCACCTCCCATCGAGACCAGGAACCCGACTCCCCAAAAAACTTACCCTTTCATGTCCAAAGACGCAGAGAAAATGCAACAATTGCGCCAGAGCCGTGCCTTGTTCAGAAGCTTGGATCCAGAATTCCTCCAAGAGCAGCAGCAACAGATTCATAAGCAGCAGCAGCATCACCGTAGGCATCACTCAACGATCCCGCAGACTCATTATGAGCGGATCAGTGAGAAGACCAACGAGATTGTGTTTGGGCCTGTCCAAGAGCAAGACTGGAGTCGTGTGGCAGCATCAGCTACTGCTAAGCCTACGGAGTTTGGAGATCAGAATCTTCATTACAGAGCACACCAATCTGTGAGTTACCCATATGGCTACTATTCCTCCTATACATGAGAAGTTGATTGAGATTATATGGTACAGGAGCATATTGGGGATTCGGGGTATAGTTGGGTTTTGAGATTTATTGAGAAGTAACATTTTGGGATTTGGGTATTTACTATTTAGATCTTTCTTGTAAGAAAAAGTAGCAAACTTTAATAATTAATTCCGTAATATAAAGAAAAAGATGAGCACTTCCATAAAGATTCTTAAAGCAAGCGTTCTCCACAAAGCTACTTTGAGCATAATTTACAAAAGATACAAAGACTTCCTCTGCTTCCATGTTCTGTTAACTGAAACCTACTCAGCAGAGGAAGGACCACGAGCTGCAGCGTTTTCCTCAGCCATCTTTGAAAATCCTTCAACACTGTACCTTAATAATATCATCTATGCTTGCATGAGGAAGAGACAGAGCAGAGTTAGTCTCTTGATCAGTGCGCTCCTGTGCATCATCAAAGCTAATCAGGTCCATAAGATCATCAGAGGGTTTCGATTATCGATATCCTTTAGGTGATTTTTAATTGATTATTTGCAAATCAGCGATGAAGATTTTTAAGAAGGATTTTAGTGCAAAGATTTGTTGTGTCATTAAAAGTAAGTATTCTATTTGGGGATTGGGGTGTAAGAAGCTACTGCGAGTGTAGGTTAATTGATATTTTTTTTGTTGATTTGTTCACAATTTTGATAATGTAGGTTTTCTCCAGAGAAAATGTGGTACATTGATCAGATGCTCAAGGTTCTGTCGGAGGTATGGATTCAAGCGCGAGCCATTTTATGCGATGCTTTAACTTTTTACGATATACAGTCAGAGCATTATACAAAGCAGTCTTGGTTGCTCTACTGAAGCTGTCATCCCGGTTTCCTTCTACCTCAGAGTATGTGCAATCTCAGTGTGTATTTTAATCCCAACTCGTTAATCTAATTTCGGATTAAAGATATAATTGTGAAGCAGAAAGGGAGTCTTCTCCTTGAAATGCAGCAGAGAGCTATTGAGTTCAATTCTATAGTTGACAGGCATAAAAAAATCAGGTGGCTAATCGAAATCCCTTGTTTGTCTCTCCCTCATCCATCTTCTAGTGCAAATTTTCATTTTGTACTCTCTCTCTCTCCAAAGCTCATGAAAGCGAGGTATTTGTGCATATAGGTCTTTACTAGATGAGGCTACCTTCAAGGTGAGGAGGACTGGCACTTTGCCTGCGTCAGTTTCAACAATGGCCAAGCCTTCAGTTAGTAGTATTCCAAATGGTGTTGCTGCAGCTCCACTAGTGGACTTGCTGGACCTGAGTTGAGTTGTGTTGTATAACTCTTTGAATGCAAGTTATGGTTGATGAAGATTCCAATAGGCTTGTTGCAAATAAAGACTTGTATAAGTTAGATGGCCTTAGAGCAACCAAACTAAACAGAACATACAATATGCTTCTGTCTTTGTGGTATGTGATCATAAAGGGTCCCAAAAGTTGGTAACTTATACCCACTCGTAACTTGTCGGATTCCTTTCGAGGGCTCTTCCAGATGGTTGTGTTCAGATGATGTGATTAGTTTAGCACTCTTATGGTAAATGAAAAGGGAAAATCTAATAGATGATGCTGATAAATTAACGTCTTGTATTCATAAAACAGTACAAACTTGAACAACCAACAACAACAACAACAAAAAAACAAGCACACACCGCACAAAAGCAAAACCCATCGTAAGAGTCTAAATCGCAGAAAAACAGAATCCCATTTGAAGAGTCGAAACGCACAAGATAACTTAGTCTCTAGTGCACCCAAAAAGCTTACCCACGAGAGACAAGTACTGTGTATCCTTATCCACGACCCTCCTGATTACTGCTTTGCGTTTGAGATGCTTACCGATCTCAAAAATCTGTCCATGGGCTCGAGGCTCTTCCAGACCGGTGAATGTGATGTAGACATGTGCATTCAATGCATTGAGTCTCTCACTTGGCGTCTTCTTCACATCTCCGGTTTTGGTTTCTATGACTGCTTCCACAATCTTCAAGGGAAGAAGAACTTTCTTGCTCCGCCCCAACTTCTGCAACAACATTTTTGGTGTTAGATTATAATTGTTAACGATAGACCCACACATGGTATGTCATTAAAAACTTACATTGGTGATTGATCTATCATTTCCACAAACCACAAGTGTCATATACATACGAATCCACTCACTGGACCAGATTTCTGATTCCTTCAACTGCAAAACCAAGAATAACATATCACTGCTTGCTTAATTGATTATGAGCATAACAAAAACTTGATGATGTGTGTTGTAGAATAATCTTACCACGTAGAATCTGTTTTCATCACTAAAATCAGATGGCCAATCAGGCAATTCACCCTCGAAGATACCATCCCCCACTGCACCTTGATGAAAGTGTGGTACAAAGGGCTTGTTTGTGGTCACTGTGCAACCTTATTAATCAGTAAAGTGAGGTGAGATTTAATACGAGACTTGTATAAAATGTAATCAAAAATGAATAACAATGTACCACAAGTTACCTTCCCCAACAATTCTAGCAACAGAGCACGCCAAATCCAAAGTGCCAAATTCTCGTTCATCAACTCGAACCCGAAATTCCGCACTCGATCGTCCACCAGTTCGATCTAGACTTTCGGCAGCCAGCGTCATGTAATAAGAAGATACAGGGTTCGATAGCATATTGAACTTGATTAGGGAACTGAGCTGGAAGTTTGTCCCCTGTCACATGAAAAAGAATGTGGTATAAATAACAAAGCATCATCATGTTAATAAAGCACCAATGGAGGGGAGATTAGTTTTAGTTAACCTTCAACAGATTGTAGCGATGAAGCCCCACCCTACCATAATCTTTGACCAAGTCACTATTAGGATAATCATCATTAACTCCACAGTCATAGGGCACCAGTCCACTGAACATTCCATTCATCCACGGTGGCAGGACAACATTTCCGACATCAAAACCCTATGACCATTAGCAAAATAATCAGTTCTTAAAGCAATCGATTACCCATAAGCATTAAGACACATCAGCAAAATAAACAGTTCATAACTATAGAAGCCATTAATTACCCTAAATCTCCAAACTTAACCCATCAGCCAAATAATCATTCCATAAACAACCCTAGAAGTGACTGATTTACTCTAGTTGTATAAGAAGCTATTGATAACAACTACGATCAGGGTTGGGTTAAGTTTGTGAAACAAAGAAACAATCCAACAGATCAAAATCATAGATGAATTCTCTAAAGTCTAAACATTAGGAAGATGAAACAGTTACCTCGGATTGCCTCACTTGATCCCAGTAACTCCTCAGTTGAGTGTGATACTCGTCCCGCGTCATATTTCCGTCCGCCATCGCTTTCTCTTTTCCGATTCCACCAGTATTCTTTATTTCTTTTTCGACCCAGGCGAGATACACCACCGATATTTTTTTTTTCTTTCTTCGATCCCTTTTCTTCTCTATCCGACTGATGGGCTTCAGTTGGGCCTTCTCAACCCACATATCACATTTCTTATTTATTTTATGTACCGAACACATACAGTACCATTAATGAATACATATATTTTTGCTATAAATACGGGATAATTTATATTTTTTCAAACTGATAATATAGTTTTACAGCAATGTTTTATTTCAATTTTTTTCTTTATATATTACGGAATAATTATTGAAGTTTGCTACTTTTTCTTTACAAGAAAGATCTAAATACTCAAATCCCAAGATAATATAGTAGAAACGGCCCAAAAGCGGCCTACTTTTTGTTTTGGTATTGCTGATGGAAAACGCTGCCGTTTCGATGTAAATTATTAAGATTTGTTGGTTTATCCTTCAGTTGCCAGCGGGCCAAGGTCCCCAACTCTTCAGCACCCAATCATGAATCCTTTTTCTTCTGGTACTCGTCTAAGGTAATTCGATTCTCTTCTTTCTCTTCTTCTCTCTATTTCGTTTTGCTTAGTAGTTTCTGTATTTGATCATCGAAATATGATATAACGTATATGAGCGAGATAAGGAAATTTGAAGACATTGAGCTCCTTCATTTGCTGATCAAATTCTGATTTAAGTTTTTCTGTTGGCCTGCCTCAAAGATGAATTTGATATCCTTAGTCGAAGAACATCATCAAAACAATACTTTTTGGAATCTGTATTGAATATTGGAAGTCAGAACAGTTTGAATTTTACTTATTCTATGATTCTGAAGTTAAGGGGAACATGTGAAATATGATGATTCAGGGACATGATCCGATCCATAAGAGCATGCAAAACAGCTGCGGAGGAGCGTAGTGTTGTGAGAAAAGAGTGTGCCGATATACGAGCATCGATCAATGAGAACGACCCACATGATAGGCACGCGAAGCTCATGTTCATACACATGCTGGGTTACCCGACACACTTTGGTCAGATGGAGTGCTTGAAACTAATTGCATCTCCCGGATTTCCAGAGAAGAGGATCGGATATCTCGGGCTTATGTTGCTTCTTGATGAGAGACAAGAAGTGTTGATGCTCGTCACAAATTCATTAAAACAGTATCCTTTGCTACTCCTAGTGTTAATCTTTATATCCATGGTCTTTTGCATGGGTTCTTTGTTTAGTGTTAGTGGAAAAATTATATGTTGGGTTTCAGTTACTGTGATGGGAATTTTGGAGGGAGATATATTTGATCCGGTTTAACCTTAAGTCGCGTGCAGAGATCTTAACCACACGAAGTAGAAAGATTGATCCAGTTTCGTGACCCTAATATCCGTAAGAAGGTATAGTGTTTTCTAGTTCCTATATATAGCATGATGGAGTTTGATTGCTGTTGTTTTTCCTCCTCCACTAGAATAGTAAGGAAAGTTCCAGATCTTGCAGAAAACTTTGTAAATGCCGCTTCTTCCTTGCTCAAAGAAAAGCATAATGGGGTTCTTATAACGGGAGTTCAACTTTGTTATGAACTATGCACGATCAATGATGAGGCCCTAGAATACTTTAGAAAGGTAGATCAATAAACTTGTGTAGATCACTCTATCTATGCATAGAGGAGCATTGGCGTATTGTAGTTTGATATGCTTCATAGAACATGCGTACATGTGCCCGCCATCTTACTTATATGATGCTTCTGTGTACTATATTTCTATATTTCTCTTGCAGTAAAGTTCTTCTCTCATACGAGTAACTTTCATATGCGGTATTGGCTTAGAATTAGACCACTGTGCTAAAATGAGGCAGACAGTCAGTTTCAAACTCTTTTCTTTGTATTGTCTCTGCAGAAATGCACGGAGGGGCTGATAAAAACTTTGAGGGATATTACAAATAGCTCATATCAGCCTGAGTATGATGTTGCAGGGATCACGGACCCTTTTCTTCACATACGGTTACTTAAGCTCTTGCGTGTTTTAGGCCACGGTGACGCTGATGCTAGTGACTTGATGACTGATATTCTTGCCCAGGTTAGTCGTAATCAGTAAGTGATCTTGGATATGGTTCACCATTTTCACATTTGCTGTGTCATTCCCTTACGAAATGCAATTATTTCATTGTTTTTTTGTTCAGGTGCAACAAGTATATTATTCGAATAAATGTTGTGGGCATAAATAAATGTTGAGGTGCCTCATCAACAAGTGGAAGAAACAGATGTTAACAAAGACAGATATGGCCGCCATGTGTTTTATAAAAGGTCCACCACAAGAGAAAGGGCAACGAGAAAGAGGAAGAAGTTCACCGAGAAGGTAAACAGAGACTCTCTATTTGTCTGCACAAATAAGGACCTTTATGTGTACTTTTAGGTTATCAAAGTTTATCGCTTTTGAATGTAATGAAAGGTTATTAAGTTGAGATTTTTCTTCTCTGGTAAAGTAGGATGACTAAATCATTACTTATGGAGAAAATAGAGTACCGAGACTTCCTTTTTATCAGATATGAGTTTTAGTAATTAATTGATCTGAATTTAAATGATTACAATCCAGAATGGTGATAGGAATGTCCGCTAGAGAAAAAGGTAGATGATCATCATTGTTCTGCTTTTTGAATGTATAAACTTTGATGGCCTCCTGAGAAGAAAAAGTACATTGCCCCCACGTTGTTCTTCTGGCAAAGTTTGAGAACTCAAGTAACTTTATTGGGTCAATGATAATATGATAGAAAGTGTTTGAACTGGCTTAAATGATTATCCTCTAGCTTGTTATTAAGGACTTGTTTGAGAAAAGGTAGATAGATCATCAAAGCTTCTTACATAGAAAATAGCTTTTGCTTGGATAATCTTAACTATTTTGGGTTAAAGTAAAGTGGAGTAGCTAGTTTTTGCTTTTAGTCAGTAATGCTATAAGCGAGAAGTGTATCTGATCAATGTTCTTCTAGTTATTTCATAGGTATTGGTCATTGGAGGAGGAGAAGGAGGTGTCTTGCGTGAAGTTGCACGCCATGCTTCTGTTGAGCAGATTGACATGTGTGAAATCGATAAAATGGTGGTCGACATGAGCGGTTTACATACCTTTCACCTTTCCTCCATCTCTGTTTCAAAACGAAAGCTCGGATGTATCTTTTGGTTTAATCTGTTTCCACCTTCTTGTAACCTTCAGGTGTCTAAGCAGTTCTTCCCTAATTTAGCAATTGGATTCGAGGATCCTCGCGTGAACCTCGTCATCGGCGATGGCACAAACTGCTTCTTTTGTCATCTCTCTGTTGTTGTCCTTTCCAAAACTATCTTCTTTAAAACTGATGCTTGGAGTGTGTTTACTACAGGTGTTGCTTTCTTGAAGAATGCTGCAGAAGGATCATATGATGCAGTGATTGTTGACTCATCTGATCCAATTGGTACCATCAATTTTTTTCTCTCATATCAGTCATTAGATTAAACCCTTGCTGTTTTTGTTGAGAAGCAGCGTTTGATTTTGATTACACGTGATGGTTGTGTGTGTTCAGGTCCTGCAAAGGAACTTTTTGAGAAACCCTTGTTCCAATCTGTGGCTAGAGCTCTTCGTCCTGGTGGAGTTGTGTGTACTCAGGCTGAAAGCTTGTGGCTTCACATGGACATCATCGAAGACATTGTTTCCAATTGCCGTGAGATCTTCAAGGGTTCTGTGAACTACGCGTGGACCAGCGTTCCAACATACCCTAGGCATGTTTTAATGATCTTTCACATTCAATCTCTCATTTTTTGTTTTCGTTGTTGTAGCTTAAACCTAAATGTGTAATATTTTATTTGCAGTGGAGTTATCGGATTCATGCTCTGTTCAACTGAAGGACCTGACGTTGACTTCAAACACCCAGTGAACCCAATTGATGAGAGCTCCAGCAAATCAAATGGACCCTAGAAGTTTTACAACGCTGAGGTAAAAACAAAAATCTCTCAAATACCATTTCTTGCGTCCTAGAGACTCGGATCCTTAACGTATGCTCTCGTTTCTTTAGGGTTGCAGATTCATTGCTGCGTTCTGCTTGCCTTCTTTCTCCAAGAAGGTTATTGAGTCAAAAGCCAATTGAAAAGGAGGAGAAGTAACATGGAGGATCGTTGCGTTTATCAAAAATAAAAGCTTTTCTACGATTTTTTAGAATGTCTCTTGTTTGTTTCAAGCATGTTTATGTGACACTGCAAGCAACAATATCTACTCTCTTTTTTTTTTTTTTTTTTTAGCATAATAGCATTACACAATCACATATCAACAAAGCGTACAAGTTTCTTTGCTTTCCGCTCTTTTTAGCATAATAGCATTACACAATCACATATTAGCAAAGCATACAACACTTTGTTTCCACTCGAACTCAAACTGCATTTAGAGTACAAACCATAGAATCAGATCCCGGATTGTTTACCCAGTTAAACAAAACCGGATATATAGAACCGACATTAACACTAATATGCTTTGCTAATATTTTGATTGTATGCTTCCATAGATGCCTTGACCATCTTCTCCGTCTTCTTCAAAGACCGAAACATCCAAATTTTAAAGGGCAAGAGACGCAGTTTAGTGTTAATGTCGGTTCTTTGCTTTCTGAGTTTTTTACCATTTGACTCAAACTTTGAATTTATCTTCAGCCAAACTCTCTTAAGTAGCTTGTTTGTTCTACATCAGCCTTCTTCCTCAAAAACCTAGTTTTACAGTCATGGTGGCAAACTATCACAAGCCAACCATTTAAGCACATTCCCAACACAAATCAAACCTACGCAGAGTTCCAGTATACAACACTCCGTTTCCACTCGAACTCGAACTGCATTTGGAGTATAAACAGGGCATCCTCGCTGCGACAGCAAATACCAAGAACACCTTTCATAAACATGGCATCCAGAGGTCACGCGTTTCATGTCCTCTTTAATACAAAGCTAAAAGAGACAAAGCATCGCTTCCATAGATGCCTTGACCATCTTCTCCGTCTTCTTCAAAGACCGAAACATCCAATTTTTTAAGAGGCAAGAGACGCAATTTAGTGTTAATGTCGGTTCTATATGGTTTTGTTAAATTTGGCAAACAAACCGGGATTTGATTCTATGATTTGTAGCATCAGATCCCGGACCGGATACAGTATATAGAACCGGACATTAACACTAAACACTCGACTCTGCGTCTCTTGCTTCCATGGCAGCCTTCATTTCTGAAACCCCCTCATTTCCTCATGTCTTCATCTTAAAATTGGATGTTCCATGTCTTCCCCAAGTGAAAGCCTCAGACTTTTCCCTCTACCTTCCGTTGGGTATATGCGTTTCTCCATTTATTCGCTTGTACTGCTATATATTCAGCACTCTCTTCTCATTTCACACATTCACTGAAAACCCTAATTTTAGGTGTTTGTAACGACTAACGAGGTAATTGCTGAATTTTACTCATCTCCTATGCTTCTGTTGTAAGGAATTTTATTCAAAGTTTTTGTTTTTGCCTAGTTAACTGTGTTTTCTCTTTGTTTCCATTGTCTATTTCTCTCCTCTTTTAGGGACGAGTTGTTAAATTTTGGATGTTTTGAAGCGGCGACTTGTTTTACTACTTTAGCTTATTAGTAATGGATCGTGTCAGCACTCTACCAGACGAGCTTCTTTATCAGATTTTGTCCTTACTTCCAACAAAGGATGCTGCTGTGACTTCGGTTCTCTCAAAGAGATGGCTTAATCTGTGGAAACTCAATCCTAATCTTGACATTGACGACTCTGTCTTTCTTCATCCTGAAGATGGTAAAGGGGAAAGGGAAGAGATTAGACAGAGCTTCGTCGGTTTCGTGGATAGTGTGCTTGCTATGCAGGGTGATTCTCCTATCAAAAAACTTCTCGTTAAAGTGCATCACTGGTGTCCATCCAGATACTGTGAATCGCTGGATACGCAATGTGCTGCGGCGTGGTGTCTCTGACCTCAATCTCTTCACTGATTTTTCCGACGAGGACACCGAAGAGGATAGTTGTCTGCCTAGAGAGCTGTTCTTGAGTAGTACACTCGTCAAGCTAAAGCTAAGAAGTGAACACTGTGTTGATTGGTGGTGGCGTGGCGGAATGATGGGCTATTCCTTTACCTTACCGATGCTTAAAAGTCTTGATATTGATTCGCACTTGATCTTTTGTGGTGAGATTGAGGAGTTTATTCCTTCTTTCCCTGTGCTTGAGGAACTACGAATGGCTAACATGGACTGGGGAGAAACGGATGTGACCGTGTCGAGTGCAAGCCTCAGAAAGCTAAGTCTTCCACGGCACTGGTTGTGAAGATTTTGATACTTCGAATCTGCTTTTCTTGAGCTACCATGATTTAGTTAAGGAAGACTATCCGTTGGTTAGTATGAAGAAGTTAGTTCAAGCGGCTAAGAGAGCCAAATAATGATCTGTTAGAGGATGACGAGGATAATGACGGTGATGTTGTCTCCAATTTGGCAATGTTGTGAAGCTCATGAACGGCCTACAAAATGTTCAAAAACTTTCTTTAAATGCTGACACTCTCGAGGTCAGTTTTTGTTTTATGTTCTTTCTGGTCTAGTATTTGTGATTACATTAATGTCTGTCATGTTCTTTCTGGTCTGGTCTAGTATTTGTGGGTTACATTAATTTGCAAAATGTCTCTGGTTCTTGCTTTCAGGTGCTTTCCCTATGCTGTGAATCGATGCCAGTGTTCAACAATCTCAAATTCTTAGGTGTTACGAGTCAAGAGGGTCGAGGATGGCAAGCAATGCCAGCTCTTCTAAGGAATTGTCCACATTTAGAAACTATAGCTCTGTTCTTTTGTTTATCGCTGCGTCTGCGGCAATGAAAGAGAAAATCTTTAAGTTGCGTCAAGATTGCGTCAAGATGGAGATCACAATTGCCACAATTGCCGTTGAAGATGACCGCTGGCATTGCCGCCGGTGTTGTTAATAAGACGCTGGAATTTTCTGGCGACACTTTTCGATGATGCGGTCATTGCGGCAGCATCTTTTTCTTTGATCAACAACTCCATTAGTGTCGTTTAGCTTTCCTACTTATTATTATTGTTGTCGTTTTGCTCGGTCGCAGCCGCTGCGTCTGCGGCAAAGAAAAGAACAGGGCTTATATAATCCTTCAGGTAAAACCCTGAAAGTACACATGTGTTGAAGATTCAGTGTTTTTGTTTATATGTCTCCTTTATCTGCTTTCAGGGTCTATTACACTATGTAACAGATACCTGCGGGGATGCTTGTCCCTGCATTTCTCGTGAAGACAACTCATGTCTTGTCCAGTGAATAGGTTAGAGATTCAAGGCTTTCGAGCAACAATGAAAGAGATGACCATGATAAAGCATTTCTTGGACTGTTTTTTCTGTGTTTGAAGAGGCTGGGCGTCTACGTTGACGATAATGAATCTACACAGCTCAGAAACCCTGAATTGGCTGACTGTATCTTTGAGATGTTCGAACTCTACAACAAGTTGTCACCGAGTTGCAATGTCCAGCTCCTGGTTAGTGATTACTTGGACAAGAAGTGGACTGCACAAGGACATGTCTCAAGAACAAAACTTTGCCCCATAGTTCTTGCCCGTTCAGTTCTGTTTAGTTTGTTTCAAGAATATTTATGTAAGCGAGAATGTCTACTTTTTTAGCATAATAGCATTGCACATCACATATCAGCAAAGCCTAGATTCAAACTTTGAATTGATCATCTCAGCCAAACTCTCTTAAGTAGCTGGAGGTTTAGCTTGTTCAACATCAGCCTTCCTCCTCAAAAACCTAGTTTTACAGTCATGGTAACAAACTACACAAGCCAACCATTTAAGAACATTCCCAACACATAAGAAACCCACATAGAGACCGGTGTATAACACTCCGTTTCCACTCGCTTTGAACAAAAATTAAAGACATCACAAGAAGAGATTGAAAAGTGTAAAGAACGCTATAAGGACAAATCATTCAACACGTTTTCATAACTAATGTGTGTGGGTTCGTTTCATAAAATACATCTTATGGGATTTGAGTTGAGAAGGCCCAAGTGAAACCCATTAACTAATAGGTGGATATAAAATAACATCAGGTCATAAATCAACTGCATCGAAAAATAAAAGCATCCTCTCGTGAGAAATACTGCGAAGGAGGAGAATATGAGCACCGATGAGGATATATCGTCGGAGGATCGTTATCGTGGTCAGAGGGATTACTGGCGTCAAGTTGCGGAATCCGATGTAATTATTCAATTCATCTTCTAATTGTTTTGGAGAAATTATCTACGAGATTGTGATTTGTTGGATTGTTCCTTTGTTTCACGGAGTTAACTTTAACCATGATATCATAGTTTCTTTATGATAATGTATCTTATGAGTATCGGATTGTTTATGGACTGATTATTTTGCTTTTACGTTTATTCTTTAACTGATTATTTTGCTTGCTGATGGATTTTAGGGTTTCGATCTCGCTGATATTTCACTACCATCATATATGTGTGGACATATCACTGGACTGTTAGCCGTCGACTGTCAAAGTTATTATTCTTATCGTGTAATGGTCCAGCGTTATGCTAAGTTGGGGCTTCATCGTTACAATATGTTGAAGGTAATTAAAACTTATGTCCTCCCCATTGGTGCTTCACCAACAAATTATGCTCCACATTAATTGAACTTTTCTTTCTTCATCTGTCAGGGGACGAGATTTGAGCTCGATTCCCTAATAAAATTCAATAAGTCACCGAGCCATTTGGCCTCTTACTACATGACTTTGCTTGCACACGATCAAGATCCAGCTGGTAGCACACTGCAGAAAACTTTTCAGGTTCGGGTTGATGAAAAAGAATTTCGCTGTTTGGATTTGGGGTGCTCCATTGCTAGACTTAAAGATGAAGGTAATATATATATATATATATATATATATTACTTTGGAATAAAGTCGAGCTCAGGATAAAAAATCTCACTAACTAATCAAGAACCTGGCACAGTGACCACCAGGAAGCCCTTCGTACCGCACTTTCATCGTGGCGCAGTGGGGGATGGTATCTTCAAAGGTGAATTGCCTGATTGGCCGTCCGATGATGATTTCAATGATGGAAAACGATTTTACATGGTAAGATTTATTATACAAGACACATAGTTAAGTTTTTGCTTTGCTCCTAATTAATTAATTAGGCAAATAGTGAGTGATATGTTTTTCTCTTGCAGGTGAAGGACTCAGAGTGGCAAGCCACTGATTGGATTTCTATGTATTTGGAACTTGTGATTTGTGCAAATGATAGGTCGATCATACGTGTAAGTTGTGTATATAGATTAGTGACATACCATGAGTGGTTAACAAATAATAATTAACACCAAAATTGTTGTTATAGCTGCCGCAGCAGCAGTCAGATGAGATTCTGTCCAAGTTGGAGATTGTGAAAGTCGCAATAGAAACTGGTATTGAAGACGTGGAGCCGTCCAACAAGAGACTCAACGCAAAGAGTGCAAATGTCTACATAACATTTAAGGGCTTGACAGAGCTTCGAGTCTTTAAACGTGTTTTCGAGATTGGTGAGCATGTTGAACGCAAAGCCATAGTTAGAAGAGTCATCGATGAGCATACAGGAAACCTGACTCTCTTGGGTAAGCTTTGTGGTGGTCAATATGCCAAACCGAAGTGGCCTCCGGGTGTGGAGAGTCCTGTCGAGAGTCCTCCGGGTGTCGAGATTCCTGCCGAGAGTCCTCCGGGTGTGGAGAGTTGTAAAAAGCGACCTCGTTTAGGCTAGGCGCTAAGTTAATTTATGAGCATCATATTGAGATTTACTTTTCTACTGTTTTATTATGGATACGATAAGTTAATTTATGAGCATCATATCTGGAGATTTCCTTTTCATTTACCATTAGTCCTAAACTAATCATTACATCTGATTACCAGAACCATTGAAATTTCTGCACGTTTACGATTCCAACTTCTCTGGGAACATCAAAGGCCTACAAATGACTTCTGCTTATGTCTTTTGTCGTCTCTGATCCACAAGTTGAGCGAAAAGAGTGTGTATAGGCTCTCTATTTATTCTCTGTTTATACAATAACTAGATTACCACATGTGTGTATATTTGAAAGTTGTTTTAAAACTTATAAATAATAAATTTAAAACAAAAATTAATATTTTTAATTATATTTAATTCTGTATTTATATTCTACTTTTTGTTAGTTAAAATATTTATTATACATGGTAAATTTTGATTAATTAATTCACATATATTTCAATCATTTTAACTTAAACTATGATTTCTATATACATTGATTTATATTAACTATTACATAACTCGTTAAAAAGAAATTGAATATGAAAAAGTAAATCACAAATTAGATCATTGTGAACATTAAAAATTAAGATTGAAAATATTTTTGCAAAACCATTTATTGATTGAAGAAACTAGCTTTCTCTTTTGTTTTATGTTTACTTTTATATTTTTCACAAATATGACTAACATAAAAAAGTAAAAAAAAAATTAGATCATTGTTAATATTAAAAAATATAAAATTGTGAATATTTTCACAAAAACTACTTATAATATAACTGATTAAAGAAACTAGGTTTCTCTCTCATTCCATGTTTATTTTTATATTTTTCACAAATATAAATGAACATTAAAAAATATAAAACAAAATTAGATCAGTGTGAACATAAAAAATAAGATTGAAAACATTTTCACAAACCACATATTATAAAACTGATTAAAGAAACTAGCTTTCTCTTTTATTCCATATTTACTTTTATATTTTTCACAAATATGATTTTTCTCTAACAAACTCTCGTTGAGAATCTCATTTGGTAAAATGGTATTAGAGCAAAATTAGTTTTCTCATTCATTTTGCTTTTGTAATTCTGAATATTTTTCGTCACTTCATTAGTTTTTTATCTTATCTAATTAATTCGAGTTTAAAAGAAGAATCAGCCTAAAAATTATAAAAGTTTTTATGTACTTATAAAGATGTGATGATAATTTTTTTTTCTTTTATGATTAGCCTTTACTTTTCTTTTAAAACTGTTTTTTTTCTTTTTTAGTTGAAATATATAATTTTATTTCGGGATTCTTGAAAAAATGACATAAAATTTGATTTGAATTGCAAATCTAACCCACAAAAATCATCTTCCCAACATTTGCCATTTTGTGTCCGAACAATCCTTCATAGTTTCAGTTATTCACAAAATTGTCATTATTTTTAATTAATTTCTTTTATTTTCGGAAATCCAAATGACCAACTAATCTCCATCTTCCTCACTTATTTACGAAAATGCTCTGAAAGTAGACTTCTCTCGGTCCGAATGAAGTCTACTAGTCAACGCCCAGGTTAGTTTTGCAATTGACCGCATGAAAAAGTAGACTTCTTTTGGTCCGAATGAAGTCTACTCCATTTCCTTTGATAACAAAAAAATGGAGTAGACTTCTCGAGTAGACATCTTTAGAAGCAGGTCATTTTTGCAATTGACCAACCTTTGACTTTGTAGAGTAGACTTCTCTATGCAAAGTAAACTTCTCCGAGAGTAGACTTCTGGCAGGTCATTTTTGCAATTGACCAAAAAGTCAAATATTTTTCAATTGGAGTAGACTTCTCCGAGAAGTCTACTTTTCATAGAGAAGTCTACTAAACTTTTGGCAATTGCAAAACTAACCTGCGAGAAGTCTACTTTTATCCGAGAAGTCTACTTTTCTTTTTTTTTAAAAATTCATTTTTATACCATATATAACGAATTTTTAAGATTTTCGTGATCTTAAGCTTCTGTTATTAAATTTTCTTGCTTATGTATAAGTTTTATATGTTTATATGTTTATAGGTATAGTCGAATCAGTTTTCATGTTTTATATGATACTTAGCTTAATTAGAGTAGACTTCATCCGACTTTCAGAGAAGTCTACTTATTCAATTTTGATATCTAATGTGGTTTGGATTTTGTTCATTTTTCACAGAGAATGGTTTACATACTCGCTGTTTATGGAGAATGGGTTAAGAGTGAATCAGTGTGACAGTTCGAGGTGGATAATAGCAAAGGATGGCGAATGTTGTTCTTAAGAGATGGTTGCACACATGGTGAGCTTCTTGGTGAATGTTGGCAAAGGAGGGCGAATAGCAAATGAGGGCGAATGTTGTCACCTTTAAGTTATGTAAAATTAATGTCTTTTAGAAGTCTACTCGAGACAGGAGAAGTCTACTTCAGAAGTCTACTCGAGACAAGAGAAGTCTACTCGGTTGACAAGTTATATGATATAAATGAGAGAAATGTCCCTCTGAATCACTTTTAAGTTATGTAAAATTAATATCTTTTAGAAGTCTACTCGAGACAGGAGAAGTCTACTCGAGACAAGAGAAGTCTACTCGGCTCAGTTCCAAGATTAACTACTGTCTTCAATCTCTCGTCTAGCTTCTTTAGGTGTGCTCCGATGATTTTTGTATGAGCTACACACCCAAAAACCCGCAGATGTCATACGTTAGGTTTCATGGATGTGAGACACTCGTATGGGGTTTTGTTCTCCAAAGCTTTTGTAGAAACTCTGTTAATGATGTAAGCTGAATGTCTTACAGCTTCTACCCACAAGAAATTCGGAATCTTCATGGCCTTCAGTACGCTTCTGGTCATCTCCATTAAAGTCCGATTTCTTCTTTCTACAACATCATTCTGCTGTGGTGTGTAGGGTGCAGTCAGTTGTCTCGAGATCCCATTCTCTTCACAGAATGAGTTAAACAATGTCGAGGTAAACTCTCCTCCTATATCGGTGCGAAAGGATTCAATCTTCGAGCCAGTTTGATTCTCGACTAGTTCCTCGTATCTTTTGAACCGATCAAATGCCTCGCTTTTCTGCTTTAGCAACATAATCTACATGTATCTCGAGAAGTCGTCTATCAAGACGAAAACATAGCGATTGTTTGCTGGTGTTGGCGGAGAGATAGGCCCGCACAAATCGCCATGGATAAGTTCTAGTACTTGAGCTGCACGAAAGGTAGTCTTTGCTGGGAATGAGCCTCTTATTTGTTTCCCAGCAAGGCATGCAATACATGTAATTTTATCATGTATTATCTTCGGCGTTCCATCAACCATCTTATTCTTAACCATTTTATTCATAACACCGATACTAACATGTCCTAACCTCGCATGCCAGGTCCACGTCGGGTCCTCTTCTTGTATCTGAAGACACTTAGAGTTGCTTATCTTCATCACTGTCTTGTAGAGCCTATTCGTCGATGATGACTCGTACTAAGAGTCTCCCCTGAGAATCTTTCAGTGTTAGAACAGCTCCCTTCATTCGGACTTCACAACCATTTTTGGTTGCTTGGCCAAGGCTAATTATATTGTGTTATTGTTTTGGAATGTAGTAGATATCTTTGAGGGCTTTTCTTTCTCCAGTCTTACCCACAAAGATAATCGTACCCTTCGCAATTATCTCCACATGTGAGCCATCTCCGAATTTCACTCTTCCTTTAACACTCTCATCTAAGGTCGAGAAGTATCCTTTGTTGCCCGTCATATGATTACTAGCTTCATTATGGGTTGTGAATAGTGGCCTGGATGTTTTCCTACATGGCCAACAAGGCCTATCTCATTTCCTTCCACTCATCAGCCACATCGTCTCTCGGGTTAGTGCATGATCTGAGTTGAAAGAAAAAAAACTTAGGACTTCGGCTTTGATACCAAACTGGTGTAGCATAAGCATACACAGACTTGCAAGTTTCGTTGATTCACGGAATGCCCGGAAAAGAGATTCTTCTTCACGATTAATAGGTCGAATGGCTGCTTAATCGAAAAGAAAAGAGAAGCTGAAAAACTCTGTTTATCTCAATAACAACGTGAGTCGTTTACAAGAGAAACTACTCCAATATAAAGTAATGAAAACCCAAATCCTATCTGAAAGATCTAGCAAGAGAATTAAAAATGAAATCCCAAATCCTTAAAACAAAGGAAACAACTTAAAAGAAAAGAAATGGAAAATGCGCTGCATCACATTTTATTCTATATATTTAAGAATACAGTCAGTAATATCACTAGGAAGAAGCGGAGAACACAATGATAGCAAAAGATACAAGGTCTGTTCTTTTTGAAGTCGACGACATAAAACAAATGAGCAAGATTTTGTGAAAAAATTAATAAATTAAAAAATCTGAAAAATATTGTGTTCTTGTTTAATGAAAGTTGAATACTTATTAAAATTTCAAACAAAATCATATGTTTTAAATGATTTTTGGCTACTTATTAAAATCCAACATTATATAGTTTAACCATCTTTCGATTTTAACAAAGGTTTAATTTCATATTATATTTTAACAGTTTTAAGAATGTTTTCTAAGTAAAAAAATACTATTAACCAAATCCGGAAAGTAACTTCGATATATCGAATAAATGTAGAAATAATAGCCAGAATTTTTGTGTTGACCTTTGTGGAATAAGTAATAATTTTTCTGAGTCCTCAAACATTGTTGTGCACTCATTCATCTCCGAAATCTGAACCCTAAAACATCCCGCTTCGTGGTAAGACCTCGAATCTCAGGCAGCACCGTGCTTATTGTTGGAACTTAAATTTTGGCAGTTATGGATTCTTTGAAATTTTTGTAATGAGCACTTATAGACAGTGTAATTACTTGTCAAAATGGAAGTTAATTTGAATAAGAAATCAATGGTCAAAGTTAATATGTAATCAAAACTAAAAGTCAAGATGTGCATTTGTCACACATTGGAAGTATGAAGGCTACTATGCAAAACCATAAAAGAATTTATTTTATGGAATAA